AACCAACAATAAGGGGTTGTGTATCTTTAATTTCTCTGTGAGAAAGTCTCAAGGGGGCCAGGTCTGGCATCCACCCCTCCACAGTGGGGCCGGGTCAGTACCGCCTGCCGCCATCTTGGTTCTCCACTGTCTCCCAGTCGCCCGCTGTTTGGCCACTGGTAGACACTGGAAGGGGAAGGGAAAGGAGACAGCGAGGGCTGCTGGCAGATTGGAGGTGGCAGGAGTAGAGCTGGAGCGAGAACCATCCTCTTCTGCTTGTGGACACATGGAAGCATCTTTCCATAATTCACTTGGTTGACGGACCAGTGGGGGAGTTAATCTGAGCCGGTACCTCCCCAGGACTGGAGTGGGCCTGAGTCAAAGGGCACTGTGTCGTGGCCACCTGCCAAATCTCAGCTTGCAGCCAGCTGAGCAGGCTTTGGTTTTTTTTTTTTAATTTCCTTTTGTACCCACTACTGTGGGTACAAGTGCAGATTTTTGTTTTCGTTGGCCCGGGAGCTCCCCCTGGAGGTCGAAGGAGCAAAATGTGCCCCAGGACCAGAACTTAGCACCTGCTGCTTCGGTCTGCAGGCAGAGAGCTCTGGCCTTGAGTGGGATGTGGCCCTGTCCTTCCTCCAGCGTACCAGGGACCCGTAAGGGCCTTCTTTCTCTTCCATTCTAGTTTTCAGTCTTAAAGCCATTGTACATAATATTCATATAATATATATATATGGAGAGAGAGAGAGTGTTAGTGACTGTGTGTAATTTTTATTTATCAGAACTTGGTGGCCTTTATTGTGAATTTTTTCCTTTTTTTTTTTTGTTGGGGGACCTCCTCCTGGTTCTCTGTGGCAGTCTGCCTGAGAGGCTTCCATCCCCAGCATCTCTGATTAGCCACCGTCCCTCAGTAGGGACGTGGAAGGACGATGGTTTCAGAGGAGAGACAGCCTTCCCCTCCTTCCACTGACCTGTGTTCTAAAGGTGACAGGGTTCAAACCTACCTGATTATTACTGTCGTTATTGTTAATGTTGTTTTAGTTTTAGTTTTATTTTAACCAAAGGTTATCAGAGCCAGTTGGGCTTGGACCTCAGCTGCTAAAAAGATTTTCCGTTTCTGAGATGGGGGGCAGATGGTCGCCCCCAAGGGCCTCCTCGGTGCAGGCCTGTGGGAGGCATTGAATGGCGTGGTCAGGCAGGCAGAGTGGAAGCCAGCCTCGGCTTGTTCCTCAAGGTGGTGGGAGGGTAGCAGACCTATCTTTAGGGTTAAGATAGTAAGGCAGCGGTGTAAGCATTGGGGGTCACTAAGGCGACCGTGGCGAGTGGTGTCCAGTGGTTTTATTTTTGCTTTCCCCCTCGTATCCATAGGACATTTATCTTTGGGGACTAGGGTACTCTGAATCTGTCCAGGGAGGATGGAAATGGCAGGAGCTAGAGACAGACATTGGCTGGAAAATTCTTCCTGCTGGTTTTTAATAGCTGCTGTCCCCTGGGGAGCAAAGATTCCAGGCAGGTGGATGCAGGGGGACAGCAAGAGTTGGGCAACCAGCCTCCTGGGTGGGGTCCTGGGTCTTGGCCTGGACCAAGGCCTGGCTGCCTCCCTCCCCACCATGTTTTTTTTTTGAGTTAGTTGCCAGTGGGCCCTGCTTGTCCCCCGCCACGAGCCCACAGCTTGCCAAGAAAGACCCCAACGCTCGCTGGGGCAGCACCTGGTCCAGTTGGGACAAACTGGTCCGTCCTTTGTAAAGCTGTAAATACTTAATTTTGGTTTTCTATTTCTAGGCCCAGTGTCATATTGACACTGGTATTTTAGAATTGTTCTCAGATGGGCTCTCCTCTGCTGCCCTCTCTCACTCTCCTATTTTGGGGGGTTTTATAAAAAGAGGATGGGGAGGGGCAGGAGAGTAGCTTCCTTTTGGCTCCCTGGTTGTGGAATACGCACACACGCACGCACACACACACACACACACGCATACACACACACTCTTCTGAGACTCCGAACAGGGAACAAAATCATTGGCAGGTAAACACGTTTTGTTTTCTTGTAGCAATATGTCTTGAGGTCTCCGAAGGGCCCGTCCAGCCTGGACTTAGCCCTGTGGGTGTAGCTCAGATGACCCATGGAGAATCAAACCACTTTTGGCTTGGGGTGGGGGAGAGGGTGTGGGGTAGGGGATAATATAAGTTGTAACTTAAGCTAAACGTAATCTATTTATAAAGCGAGAGACTCTCATCTATTTTTATGAAAGGAAAGGGTTTTAACCCCGGGCAGGCAGTGGTGGCCACCCAGCGCGTTTCTGTGGCCAGGATGCATGTTGCTGCTGGGTTTAATATATCCAGTACCCCTCCCCTGTCTCCCCGTCCACACCGCCTGCTCGTCTACACCCAGGAGCAGCTTCAGCAGAGCGAAAGTCCCACCGTACCTCATTTCCCCGGTCCCCGCTCCCTCAGCTCCTTGGTCCTGGGAAGTCTTAGTGGGGAGGGCACTTGTGGGAGTAGGCAGGCAGCGGGGAATTCAGAATTGAGGTGGGTGGGGGGAGGGAAAAGGGGCACCAGGTGGGCAACAAACCCTGCTTTTCAGAGCGCGGGCTCTGATTAGTTCCTTGAGCTCTGGTCTCCCAAGGTGCATTTCCAAGTCAGCTGTGTTGGGGAGAGAGTGGAGAAGCATAGAGCGTGGGCGGCAATGGGGCACACGGATTCCTTGGGGCCTGGGCCCTACCGGGTCCCAGGTTGTCAGGCAGCTGGAGCAGGAGTGGAAACATCAGGACTTGCTCGTAGCCGAGCCCTGGCTGTGCCTGCTCCAGGCGCGGGCCTGGGCTCCCGTTCTTGATGTGCTCCTCCCAGGCCCTGGATGCAGAACTAGGGGGCTGGGGCCTTCCTCAGACCTGAGTCCTCCGCCTTGAGACACTGAGCTCGGGGTCCTAGAAGGGCTCTGTCCTAGACTGGGGAGTCTGGAGGTGCCTGGGTGGGTATGGATAAATGCAAATTCTCTCTGGAAGGGAATTTTCCATGGGTGGAAGATTTCCAAGCTCAGAGGGGCTGTGTGTTAGTCTTGGGCAAATCCCTCAACATTCCCCCTGCCAAGCCTGAAAAGAAATGAGGCAAAGGTACCCTCCACCCCATCCCTTCCGTGGACATTTTGGCATCAACCTGATTTCTAGCCCCATCCAGGGAGACATTCTATCCTGTGGTCCCATCCCACCCCACTGTTGCTGTTTGTCTGTCAGCTGGGTCTAGCATCAAGGGGAAGGGGGGGTTTATACTCATTGAAAGACTACTGATCCTACCGGAAACCAACCTGTTTACTGTACTCTTGTAAATATCATGCCCTTTATATCCTGTATATTGGCTTCTTTTAAATAAAGTGAAATGTCTTAGACTTGATGGTGTTTTTTTTTTTAGTTGAGAATAAAATGGTGGTGGGGGGAAGGGCAAGAGGCCCAAGGGCCACATAAACACTAAAGCAAAGTAGATAGCCAATGAGTGACACAATAGGGAAATTTCACATCATCTATTGCGTTTGCATCTGACAATGTTTGGAAATAGATAAAGTGGGATTTATTAGGCACATTTTACAGAAGGGGAAGAGAGAGCCAGAGAGATCAAGGCTGAACAATTGTCGAAGCCTGGTTTGGAATTGAGGTCCTGTTAATCACAGAGCCCCCATTTCTTAAACCTCCTCCAGGGGCCCATGAGAGGCCACCTCCTGGGGCTCTGGCTTTGACCCTGTCCAATGTTCTAGTTTCTTTTTGTTAATGGCCAGATTCAGGGAGACATTGCCCCATGTGAATGGGGCCCACCGACTACAGTTTTCTTCAAGGATGAAAGGAAACAGCCACCACCAATTCCAATTTATTTTTTTACCCTAAAACTTGCACTTAATGTAGTTTCCTTTCCCATTCCCCGTTCTGTTTAAATTCCCCAAAGTGTCTTAAAGCGATGACCTTCTGGAGGGAAAAAAGTAGCATGAGATAATGAGGGAATTCTAAGGTGGGGATTATTACCCCCTCTTTATAGACAGGGAAACCGAGGCCCAGGGAAGTTGTGTGTTTTGCCACGTCCTAGGGAGGAACCACGATCAGCATCGGAACTCTGACTCCTAAGCAGGTTTGTGATTCACGCTGCTGGGGGAACTAGAAATAGATATATTAGAAGAGAGTGTTAGGAAAGCTGTAACAGCACTTTAGGAATAGAATGGGTTCCTAAGACTCTGTCCTCAGGAAGGCTTCAGAATCCGAGTTTTAAATAAAGTTCAAGCCTCCATCAAACTTCTCCAAAAGAAAACTAAAATTTTGATCCGGGGGGAAAAAGATAAAGCGCAGGACCAACTGGTTCCGCAGCCCGAGGCTTTGAAAGAAAAAGTTAAGCAAAGACCGGCTCGGGTTTTATCTTTTATTGACCGTAAACTGCAAGGAAGCCGGCCGATTTATCTAAGCGATTTATCTAAGCGCCAGGCCCTGGGAAACTGGGTGGCCCCGCGCCAGGCTGGGAGGTGGAGGGCGGCTGGGTCCCGGCCAGGGGACTGGAGGCAGGGGACTGGCCGCGGCGTGGCCCTGCGGGGTCGAAGAGCCTGGTAGCCACAGGCCAAGTGCAGCCACAGTGGTCGGGCCCGGACGCCCGCGACACCTGACTGGCGGATCTGCGGTCCTTCCGCCCCGCCTCCCACGTGTCCCTTTCCCGCTCTCTCATTGGCTCGTTCAGCCCCTCTCTCCGGCCTAAGAAGGCTGCAACATGACCGCCCCCCCTGATTGGCCCAGGAGCTTCGATGCTTTACTCTGATTGGTCGATGGGCCTCACGCCCTCTCTCCCTCGAGGGCTGCTGGGTCATACCATAAAGAGAGGAGGGGGAAACGTGTATGTGTCACGGCTTCCCTTTTCGGTTACCTTGTCCTATGTCCCATAGTGGCCTCTATCATGCCCTAAAAAAGAGAACTGTTTCATTAACAGGAGGTAAGTTTCGGTTGACCCTGACTCGGGGGACAGGCCTGTTGGGCCGGCCCCCCCCCGCCCGCCGAGGTGGTGCGCTCCGGGCGGGGCAGCACCTCCCCACCGCGCCGGGGCGGACACTCCCGCGACCAGCCGCCCGCGAGCCCGAGATGCTGCCGCCGCCCGCGCTCCGCCGCGCCCTGCTGGCCCGCCCCTGGCGGGGGGCCGGGTGAGTGAGCCCCGGGCCCGGGGCCCCCGAGCGGCGTCTGCTGGCCCGGGGTCCCGGGAGGCACTGGGCGCCCCCCCGCGCCGCACTTCCTCCCTGCCGGACCCCCGGCGGCACCCCGGGGCTCCCCTCCGCCGCGGATCGCTTCTTCTAGTGCCCTCCGCACCCTACCCAGACCTTCCCCCCACTGCGATCCCCTTGTCCCCCTCAGGTGGTCGCCTTCATTTAGGGAGGGGGACCCGCTTCCCGAATCTTGCGGCCGAATGGGGTTCCCCACTGCCCTCCTGGCTCCCACGCTCGGAAAGGAGACTTTTAATCCCTCTGCCTCCTAATCCTGGATCTTCGAAATTTGCCCGCCGCTTGAGAGCGGCGGCTTCCTCCCGGGGCTACGTCTGTTTTTAGCACACCCCGCTTCTCCCCTCCCCACCCTCGGCCTCACATGCAGGACCCTCTTCTGGGGTTCTGAGTCCTGCCTGTCCTCTCTCTAACGGGATTTCTACGTCTCTTTTCCTTTTCCGCTTTTTTGAAGTTAAGTGTTGGGCAGAAAAGGGACTCCTTTCTCCTGGTGGCTGGAATAACAATATCTATGGAGCACTTATAATGTGCTTGGTATGTGCCTTATTATGATAAGTAAACGAGTTAATACATGTGAAGTGCATTGGGCAGAGCCTGGCACAAAGGCAGGGCCCAGTTATTATTCATCACGATAATCGTTATCACTTGTAGTTAAACGTCTTTTGGGGGCCGGCCCGGTGGCGCAGCCGTTAAGTTCGCACATTCAGCTTCAGTGGCCCGGGGTTCACTGGTTCGGATCCGCGGTGTGGACATGGCACCGTTTGGCAAGCCATGCTGTGGCAGGCGTCCCACATATAAAGTAGAGGAGGATGGGCACGGATGTTAGCTCAGGGCCAGTCTTCCTCAGCAAAAAGAGGAGGATTGGCACAGATGTTAGCTCAGGGCTAATCTTCCTCAAACAAAACAAAACAAAGTCTTCTGTGCGGGAGATAGTGTTATTCCAAATTACAGATGAATTACAGATGTAGTTTCAGAGTGGAGCTGCACTGTGAACCCAGATTTGCAGACCCCCGCTCTGTGGAGTTGGGTCCCTGGACCCTTGCTGGCTCAATGACAAACCTTCTCAGAGCCCCTGCCTGCTCTGGGCCTGGAGGGGAGGTAGGTAGGACACAGACTCTGTCCCCTTATGGATCTGTGTTTCTGTTGGCCTCCCTTTCACAGCTGGGCAGCCCCGCCCCCAATCTGAGTTTTGTTGGCCTGACCCCTAGGACTGTGACCAGCTATGTCTCCCCCGCTGAGCTCTTTCTGAGTTAATCAGTGTCCCAGGGGATGCACAGGGGTGGCCCCCAGCTGTGGGCACAGGTGAGTTTCAGCAGTGCTGTGTGTCCTCTGTGCCTGGGGGTGGGATGGGGAAGGCACAGGAAGAGGACAGGGGAGAAAGGGCTCCTCTCCCAAACAGGAGGGCATGCTCGCCACACCCGCAGCGTGGTCCCGCTTGCAGGCTCTCCCTGCACTCCGAGACCAGCCCTCTCGGACCCTGGATTGAATCTCCATAGATGCACATGTTCACTGAGTCCCTACCATGTGCAGGGGCCGCGCTGCACCCTGGACAGAAGAGTGCCCAGGAACTTTACATGTGCATAGGGTCTTCGGAGAGTTTTCAGTTTAATGGGAAGAGAGGCTTTGTCATAAAAAACCCTCTAATATCCGATAGAAAGCAATCCATATCCTTAAAAAAAAGCCATAATAACAATAACATTGGGGCCAGCCCAAGTGGCACAGCAGTTAAGTGCACATGTTCCGTTCTGGCAGCCTGGGGTTCGCCGCTTCGGATCCCGGGCACGGACATGGCACTGCTTGGCAAGCCATGCTGTGGTAGGCATCCCACATATAAAGTAGAGGAGGATGGGCACGGTTGTTAGCTCAGGGCCAGTGTTCCTCAACAAAAAGAGGAGGATTGGCATCAGATGTTAGCTCAGGGCTAATCTTCCTCAAAAAAAAAAAAAAATCATATTGATCAAGCAGTCAAGTACCATGGGCCTGGCACCGTGCTGATAAGCACTGTATTATCCCCATTTTACAGATGGGAAACTTCTCTGCCCGTTTAGGCAAATACAGGACTAAGATCGTAAAATCGCTGTTGGTCTGACTCCAGATTCTTGGTCTTAATTACAAAGCCTCCTGAGGGGGGAAAGAGCATTTTGCAACCAGAGAGAAAGCGTTTTGCAACCAGATCTGCAGGCTCAGGTGACCTCGTCCCGTCCGGCATTGGCCCGCTGCCCCAGACGGGGTTTCTCAATGCAGCGCTGTGAACACTTGCGTCAGGTGACACAGTTATGGGGCCGTCCTGTGCACAGTAGGATGCTTAGTGGCATTCTTTACCTCTACGCACTAGATGCCATAGCACCCGCAAGTCATGACAACAAAAAAATGTCTCGACACTGCCACGTGTCACCTGGGGGGCAAAATCCTAGGTGAGAATCACGGCTCTAGAACAGTTTTGGCGTTTGATCCCTTGTTCATTTATTCGACAGATATTTAGGACACATCTGTGGCATGCCATGTCTGCATTTGTGGAGAAACAATTTTAGGACATTTTTAGTGAGATTTCTGGTGTCCTATATGTAAAACTCTAGTGCCGAGAAAAACTATCATGAGGAACTGGTATGGGTGAGGTTCTGTAGTGTTTCCCTTTTTGCCTGGAGTGCTAGGAAGCTCAACCGGTTTTTACAAATACTCTTCATTGTGCGTTTTCTTTTAATTTAATTAATATCTGTCTATTGTAAAAAGTACAGATAAAGCAAAAAAGAATACAAAAATCACCAGACAGAGGTAACCACTGTCGTCATTTTGATTAATATCAAATATCCTTTTAAATTTCCATGAATATATATATGCTTAAACAAAGCAGCAATACAAAAACCAGCTCATGTGCAAATACTTTTTTGTAGCTTGCTTTTCTCACTTCATAGACTCGTCTGCCTTCCTCTGTGGCCCCAGGGCCTAGAACTGTGTCTGGCACCTGGAAAGCCCTGGGCAAACTGTTGGTGAATGAATGAATGATCATTCGAGGTCTTCCTTGTCAGCAGATATTTATCACGTCCAGTCTGGAGATGGTCACCACACACATGTGGCCTTTATGGCCTGTAGGGATGGTCACTAATGACACTGGCTGCCATTTGCCTTTGATGTGCATTATTAGCTCCTCAGCAACCTATGATGTAGGTGTTACTGTTCCCATTTCACAGTTTAAACAACTGAGGCGGCAGAGAATTAAGGAAAACTCGCCCCGGGCCTTAAGCTGGTCAATACCGGCCAGATACCAGGCCTCCATCTCCTTTGACCTTGACCTCCTGCCCTTTTCTCTGTTTCCTTTAACTTTATGATCAGTGTCCTCGGTTGTGTCTCTGCAAATTCTCTTTGGGAAGAGCCAAGATACATCTTTATATTTATCTATAAATTTAGTAAATAAAAGAACTAGCCCAGGCATATAGTGTGCTTATAATAAATGTTAATTTTGTCCCTTCCTTGCTCTGGTACCAGACCCTGCCGAGTGTTGGGGGTCTGTAGATGACTCCAACTGGGTCCCCCAACATCAGGGGGCTTGTGGACTGGAATCACAGGTTGTGTGGGGCAGGGGGCTGGCACGGCCCATCGTTCCCGGGACCCACTGTGCACTCTCCCTTCTCCAGGCGGTGGCCGGGCGGCACCCCTTGTCTGGAATGTCCTCCCCTGGCCACCTGTGAGCCCACACCATCCAGCGCTTTGTGGCCTTGGCAGGGCAACTCTGCTTTGGCCCTTCAGTGTCCCGTCTGGAAAATGGGGATAATCTTATTAACAACCATGTAGCACAAGGATCAGAGATGATGGAACAGTGCCTTACTGGGGGCCTGGCACCCAGCGTGTGCTCCGCAAATAATTGAGTGAAGGAATAAACAGAACCTACGATGATCCTAGAACTTGCTTCTAAAGTTGTTAGAATCCCTGCTCGGGCAGCGTTTGGCTCTGGCGCACCTTGGAACACCTGCCTCCTGTGCCCGGCTCCTGGCTTGGTGCATAGTAGGTGGTTCCCATGACTGGTGGCTGTTGGAATGGCCCAGAGGACGGCCTGCGGTGGATCCTGGCTCCACCTCTTAGCAGCTGTGTGGCTCTGGGCAGGTTACTCCACCTCTCTGTGCTGCCACATGTTCCCATGTGGAAAATGAAGATGATGATGATAGTCACCTGATGGAATTGACTTGGAGGTCAAATGGATTCATATGCAAAAACCATTTTGAAGAGGCAGCTAGAAAACTCCGTGTGTAGCTTCCATCCTTCCTTTGGTCCCCTCCCCCACCAGTGGGCTGCCCTCAGTGACCGTCCTGGGTCAGGAATATCAAGACAGGAGGGTCCCAGCAGCCCAGGATGGTCCTCGGTCCCTCCCCTTTATTGGAAGTCATTACCCGAAGGCAGAGCCCCTTCTGTTGGGCTGGACCCTGCTCACCCCAGGGGATGCGGGAGACCCCTGCCCTCCCTGGGGGCTGCTTGGCCCCCAGACCTTTCCTGGCAGAGACCACATCACAGAGTGGAAAGCCTTAGGCTGCACTGGCAGTGCCAGTGGACAGCCGTGTGACCTTGGGCCAGCCACTGCCCACCGTGGGGTGACCTCTTTCTTTGGGTGGGAATTGAGGTGCCGGCTGGAGGGTGAGGAGGATGTACCCGCCCCTCCGGCTCCAGTGACCGTGGGTCTCTGAGGTGCTCCAGCTGCTTCTGCCATAGCGTGTATGTCTCCTGAGCCAGGAGGACCTGGGTTCAAGTCCTGCCCTGCCCCTGACCGAGCTGTGGCCGTGAGCCATGGGCGAGTCCCGGCGCCTCTGAGCCTCAGTTTCCTCATCCGTGCAATGGAGGTCGTACCAGGACCTCCCTCCCTCACACATTTGTCGTGTGGATTCAGTGAGATTATCACTAAGCGGGGTGCCAGGCTTCTTCTAAGTGCTTAATCAAAGTTCCGCCATGGTTTCCAGGCTTTTCTGATGGTTTCCAGGCTTTCCCAGGCGGTAAGGTGGAGGCAGCTTGGTGCCCCTCCCTCTGGACCTGCCTGGCCCTGCGCTTTCTCTCTGCTCTGTCTCTCTGCTGCCTCCCCTGCGGCCCCTTATCTCAGCGATAAGGGATAAGGGGAATTGGCCTTATCAGGCCCCTGATAACCTCCGGGGAAGCCTGGAAGCTCCAGGAGGCAAGGGTAATTTCCTTCGTACTCCTCTCCTTGGCCTCAGCCACCCTTGACTCCAGCCACTGGGACTCCCAAGGCACCTGCGTCCAGTCCTGGGGGCCTGGTGTGGCCTCTGACACTGCTCGTGCGTTGTTTGAAAAGGTATTTCTCAAGTGCTTACTGTGGGCTGAGCAGCGTGTCCAGTGGTGAACGGAATGGACATGGGCTGGCCACGTGGGGCTCACAGCCTGGCTGGAGCCCAGACACCAGGGCTGCTGCGAGGAACGGGCGGGGCTGTGAGATGAGGCCAGCCAGGTGAAGAACACCCCACACGGAGGGGACCCCAAAAAGCCCACGGGGCTGGCCTGCAGCAAACGAGGTGGGAGGGGCTGGGGTGATGGGAAATGAGTCTGGAGGCCTCCGTAAGGATTCTGGTTTTTTATTGTAGAAGAAATGAGAAACCACTGAGTAGTGTTGAGCTGAGCGCTTGTTCCCTCTGTCTCTCTGTGTGTGATGATCAAATTTTCACGTGAAAACCATGACTTGGGCTATGGTTTGGAGACAGTGGAACAAGAGTGGCTATTGCTGACCTCCGGGCAAAAGCCGGGGTGGAGGCCGAGGGCTGACCTGGGGCCCAGGCCCTCTGCATCCCCTCTGTCACCTTCTGAGGCTGCACCTGCTGGCCCGCAGCTCCCTCCAGCCCTGACGTTGCCCCCTGCAGGCGTTTTGGTTGTGTGGCCTTTTCAGCTCTGATCAGGCTACCGGCAGAGGGTGGGGAGGGCAGTGAGGTCTCACGCCCAGGCCCTGAGGTCCCCAGGTGGGCAGGGGCGGGTACTCCAGATTGTTAGGGGAAGCGGGGTCAAGTTCAGACTGCCCCGGGCCTCCTTCCTGGGGTGGGAGGGCTGAGAGCTGCCCTAAGAAAGGTCGGGTGGGACTCATTGCTGCGTCCAGGAGCCAGGCGCCTGGTAGGTAATAGGGAAGTGTGTGATGGATGAGAGTGAGCGTTTTGCCTTCGTCTGAGTTATCCGTGCATCTTTGCGGCGTGAAATAAACTGCATGCGGGAGTGAATGATGAGGGATGCTGTCCTGCCGAGGAGGGGCTCGCAGCTCCTCACAGAGGCCCCGCATCCTGTGACTGAGTGATGTCCGCCTTCCCTTGATCCCATGGAAGGTGCTCGTGGCAACCCCAAATGGCCCATGAGCCCCAAAGAAAAACCTTTGGTGGGGGGTCCGGGGATTATTTTTGGCTCCAGTTCTTTGAACTACTCTCTCTTCCCCAAGCCACACTCGGACTGACGGACAGCTGGGCCGGGGCCTGGAGTCTTCCCAGGCGTAGAGACAGCTGTGGGGACTTGTGATCCAGAGGTCACAGTGGGCCTCTGCCCAGATGGCCTCTCCCTGTGGAGGGAGCCCTGCAGGATTTCTGTTCCTGACCCTGCCCGGGAGGGAACAGAGAGAGGCGAGCTGGCAGCTCCTACAGTTTAAGCCTCTGCCCCAGGTGGACTGCGGTGCTAAATTCATTCCAGCATATGTGCCGAGCTCCTGGGCCAGCCCCTGATCCTGGAGATGTCTGGGATCCAGTTTACCTTTGAAAGTCTGGCCTGGTGGAGTGAACATTCTGGAAGACCTTTACAGTTTTCTTAGGAAACCCTAAGGGCAGGAGGGGTGAGGAAAGGCAAGTGCTTTTAATCGTCACGATGACCCTGCAAGGAACATGGTGTCACCCCGTTTTTCAGGAGGAACAGAGGCCTGCAGAGGTCAGGAGAGTGTGCTGAGGGCTCGGATGGAGCAGCTGGGGTTGTGGTCCCAGGTGTGTCCGCTCCTGGAGCCCGCACTGCTTACACCCACCAGGAGCTGGGGTACAGGGTGGCGTTGGGGCGGCCCACCCCCTGGCTCCCAGCCAATGCCTGTTGCCAGCACTCTCCTGGCTTACAGAGGACGTGGCCCCATCTCATCTACTGACTGGCAGAGGTGTGCTGCTCCTGAGGCCCAGAGAGGCTGCTGGAACCTTCTGCACGGCCCCGCGGAACGGACGTGGCCCAGCCCTATCCTGACGAGCTGCTCAGGCTTTTGGCTGCTGGTGGTTCTTCCCGCGTCTCTGTCCGCCCCCCCCACCGCCCCCGACAGTGGGTGTGGGATTTTAATTTACTGAGCCAGTCTACAGCTTTGCATTCTCATTTAACCCCAGGAGATGGGGTCACCATCTTCCATCATCTAAAAGGAATCCAGCTCCCAGACCGTGGCCTTGCCCGAGGTTACAAGCTGAAGCAGCGCAACACGTGTGGGGAAAGGGTGGGGCCTGAGGAATGTCACTGGCTTCCTTGGGTGGATGGGTGTGGCCTGGGGGCTGCAGGTGGGGGGAGAGGAGGAAGAAGTTCACTCACTTTGCCCTTGGGGATCTTGGACCACCTGGCCCTGCCCCCTCTCCCTTTTCCTCAGCTGCACAAGCCCCTTTCTGCTCTTTCTACCACGTGCTCCTCCCACCTCCTGGAATGTCCTCCCAGCTCTTCTCAGGCCTCCTCCTGGTCTCCTGCAGAGGTCACCTCCTCAGAGAGGCCCTCCCTGACCACCGTGGCTGAAGTAGCCCCACCCTTCCCCTTACTTACTCATTTTTGTGTCCCCACTGTCATTATTGTGTTTATTTCTTGCCCGTGTCCCTCCCCCTGAGGTCAGCTGCCTGCAGCCAGAGCCCTTGCCGTCTTGGTCAGCGCAGTATCTCCATCATCTAGGACAGCGTCAGAGCCGTGGCAGGTGCCCAGTAACCTTGTAGAGTAATGAAGGACCTGCCCTCCCGGCCCCTGGTTTCGTGTCCTTCCTCCAGGCCTCCCCAGCTGGGTCTTTGAGCCTCCAGACCCCTCCCCAGTGAGAAAGAAAAAAAAGTGCCCTGACACTCATAGCCGGGTTGTTTTGTTCTCCTGTTGGGCATAAACAGCCTTACTGAACCCCAGCCTCAGACGAGGTCTGAGCGTGGGCTGAGGCGCCACAAGCCCCTTCATAATTTTGACTGAGCACAGAGTCACTGTGCCACCCCCGAAGTATGGGACATCTCCCTCTCTTGCTAAATGAGGGAGTGCTACTTTTTCACCCATAGAATGGCCCCGCCCTCTGACAGCATCCCCTCCAGAGCAAACCCCGGCTTCCCCAGTGCACCCATCCAGCACCCAGATCCAGTTCTTTCCAACACCCTCTTCCTGAGAGGACCCCCCCCATCCCCCTGGTGTATGTTCTCCCTCCCGCAGTGACCAGTAGCCCGGCTTGTCCATCGCGGGTGTGTTCCCACTGGTCTCTGGCTGCGGGCTGCTGACCCCAGAGGGAGATATATCTGGCTTTTTCTGGACTCAAATCCAGGTTTCTCCTGATCTTGATCTTGAACTAGTCTTTGTCCTTCCAGGACCTAGATTACCTTATTTCCATAGTGGGCCGTGATGGATGGGAGGCGTTATCAAGTCTAAGGCCCTGTGTGCATTAGGTGGCCTTTGTCGTCATGATTGTCCTCATTTACAGATGAGGAAACTGAGGGCTGGAGGGGCAGGCCCACGGGGACTGGGAGTGATGGGCCCTGAAGTCCCAGCTCTTACCCACCTGTCCTCCCGCCCTGTGACCCTCAGACACGTCGGGGTGGTGGTCACTAGCGGTCACTCGTCGCTGAGGTCATAAAGTTCAGGATTAAACAGGGCGTCCAGAACAAGGAGCTCTTGAAGCTCCATGCCCAGGAATTAGTCCCTGAACCCCAGGCCAGCTCTCCCTGTGTCTGTGGACTGAGCCCAGGGCCCTCCTCCAAGTTCACGGTCCACATTTTAGATGTTCCTGCCCACGCGGAGCTCAGCTCTGTGCCCAGGCAGCCTCAGCTGGTTCACATTCCGAGACTCAGCTCGGAACGTGCTGCCGTTTCAGCTTAGAGACAGAAGCCGCATGGGGCCGTTTGGGATAAAGTCCGCATTGTGGGGCAATGGTGTGAGAATAAACCCTCTCCATGTGCAGAACACTTAAAAATGGTTTTGCATCTATGCATTTAAACTTCAAGCAACCATGTAAGTTTGCACAGTTATCTCACTTTCTAGGTGTAGAAACAGGTTTAGAGGAGGCAGGTCACATGCCCAAGGACACACAGCGGCACAACTGGGATTTGAACTTGGGTCTGAGACCCCAAGGCCAGCTCTGGGCCCCTAGTTCTCTAGTTTCTCTGGATTTCAGGCTTCTGGGCCAACTCAGGACCCCCCGTCAGCGATTGAGGGGCTGGGTCTGGTGGCAGCTGTTGCTGACCTGTCCACCTCTGTCTCCACTCTCGCACCCCAGGCTGCGGTGGAAACACACCTCCTCCTTGACGGTGGCCAACGAGCCGATCTTGGCGTTCACACAGGGCAGCCCCGAGCGAGATGCTCTGCAAAAGGTAAGGGGGAGTGCGGGGGACCCCAGCCGGCCAAGGGCAGCCTCCACCAGCACCCATGGTGCTTCTCCGAGCCCACAGCCATCACCCCTCCTGCCCCTGCCCAGCCCTGGCAGGAGACCCGGAGTCTGGGGAGAGCCGTGCGTCTGGAGGGTGGCAGAGGCTGGGAGCGGCAGCGGGGCAGCCTGGGCCACTTTGGGGCCTCAGTCCAGGTCAGGGGTCCTAAACCCACAGATGTTTCATACTTAAAAACATTCTCCCATTAATTGCCGGTATTTTAAAATCATGAGATTTCACATAAATTTCAGATGCAGTTTTTAAAAAAATCTCTTTGTAATGGGAAGACCCGGCAAGACGGAAAGTGGCGATGGATGGAAGCTGAATCCTGCCACCCCCCGAGGAGAGCGCACACTCTGTGGCCGCAGACCCGCTTGCCCCCTTCTCATTTCTGTTCCTGCCTGGGCATCTGCGTTTGCAGACTCTGCGTCGGGGTTTTAGGCGGACGGAGAGGAGAAGGGTGCCCATCTGCCCTCTGTCCTCTCCTCAGGCCTTGAAGGACCTCAAGGGCCGAACGGAGGCCATCCCATGCGTGGTGGGGGACGAGGAGGTGTGGACCTCGGATGTGCAGTACCAGGTGTCGGTGAGTCCAGTGGGTGGCCTGGGCTCGGCCTCCGTGAATCTGGGGTCTGTCTCTTGGGCTGCACATAAGCATGCACTGTGGGGTCTCTGCCTCCAGAGGAGTTTATAGTCCACTCCTGGATTTTGAATTCCATGCACCAGTATAAAACTTCCAGCAGCAATCCCGGGGGGCTGCCAGGAGGAAGTTAAAAACAACCACTGCCGCCAGCTTCGCCAGCTCTTAGTTCTTTCATTGATCGTGGAGAGTAGGAAAAAAGGACTGCATGTCAGAAGCAAAGATAATCCTTCCAAAGGAAGTTCAAGCTCCAATGCCCCTGTCTGTATTTGGGAACCACTGGTCTAACGCCCAGGGTGTGGCCAGGTGTCGCCTCCTCCTAGAAGCCCTCCTGCTGGAGCTGTGCTCCTTTGGCAGCACATTTAAGAGGCCCTGTCCCATTGCACAAGCTCCTGCTTCAGTCCCTGCCACTCCCCTTTGAGGCAGGGAGAGCAGGAAGTTAGCAAGTTTTACAGATCAGGCGACAAGCTCAGAGAGACAAGCTCAGAGACGTTGAATGACCTGCCTGGGGTGGCACAGTGAGATTTGGAACAGGGGTGATAGACCCAGGCTTTCCAGAACCAGAGCCATTTGATTTTGATGTAAATGAATTCATTCACACCCTGACAGTTTCTAAAGAGGATTAATTTGCATACAGTGCAACAAGGTCACCTTGCTGTGACCTGTGATGACCTTGGCCTAAGAAATCTACCTGCTTGGAGTTTGTGGATGCAGGAACTGGTGTGCCCTAAGGATGGACCAAGGAAGTCTTAGGTCTCTAAATTTGGGGAGTAAAGGGTTGGCCCCTTTGCAAGTGGGCGAGCATATTCTGGCTCTGTCCGGAGGGAACCCTGAGCAGGTGTGCACAGGGGTAAGGCTCAGGACCCAGGGCTCCTGCTCTGAGGTTTCCCAGGATGGCCTGGGGCGGGAGTCGCCCACAGAGGCATCCTGGAGCTCCTGCTGCTGGATCAGCGACCAGAGGGCCTGACACCTGGAGCCGTCGGAGCACGGCCTGGGGTCTGCAGGCTCCTCCAGTCTGCACCAGGTGTTTGGCAGGTGCCAGCTGAGAGCAGCTCCCACGGCCTCGCTCACCACTCTCGCCTCTAACTGCCTGGAGCCTGCCCTCACCTACGACTCCCTCAGGCCTCTGCAGCTGCCGTGTCCCCTGGGATTTTCCAGGTGGCTGGGATTTTGATAACACCCTGGGTGGCACTTCTGATTTTCATGTCCTGTGTTGCCTTGCTGACCTGGCCACATGGTAATGGCTGGAGCCCAGGCATCTGGGGCAGTGGCCGGTGTGAGGGCAGGAGCTGTGTTCCCAGGACACGTTGCTGACTCGTGGGATCCGCAGTCCACTGGGATCTGCTCAGTGGAAGGGCCTGGTCCTAGCTGCCTTCTCGGCCCTTAAGTGTCACCAGCCAATCTCAGGTGTGGTCAGGACGCAGGTGACTGTGCCAGGGGTTAAAGTGAAGGGGAAAAGGCCACCTTCTACTCAAACCTAGGCCGGCGCCGCCCCATAGAGCTTTCTGTTTGTGATGATGATGGTGGCCACCAGCCACTCGTGGTTATCGGGTGCGTGAAAGGTGGCGAGTGCAACTGAGGAACTGAATTCAAAGTCAGCAGTCACGTGCGCTAGACAGGAAAGCCCCCGCAGCCCCTGGGAAGACCCCAAAGTTGACGATTATGGCATTAAATCTATTTGTAGCCCAGGGTAGGGAAAAAAGTGACATCTCCCCCGCTTGATTGCTCCTGCTGGTACCCAGCACTGCAGGTTCTGTTTGTAAATGTGGTTGAGCATCCTCCTTGTTAGATGAGTAAATCAGGACCTCGTGCAAAGGGGCTCAGGAAGCGATTGCTCTGTTCCCTGGGGACTTTGGGGCCTGGCAGAAATCTCGAGCGTTTCACACCAGTGCATTGTTTTGGGCCTCCTGTGGTGACAGCACCCATCACTGAGCGGTGGCCTCATGCCAGACCTGGCTGGGAAGGATTTTCACCTGTGACCCCATTTGGTCCTCCACTCCAAGCGATGAGGCAGGAAGTCCCCACTTCCTGGGTGGGGAGAGTTGGAGAAGGGAAGTCAGTTGACATAAGGCCCCATCCATGTCTGTCTGACCACCAAGTCCACACTTTCCTCGAAAGACCATCCATGCCTTTCTCCTGGACCATGAGCCTTCTGGAATGGGAACCGTGTCTTACTCATTGAACAGCAGGTGCTCCGTAACTCTCGAGAGGGAGAGATCCATGTGGGTGGGGGCGACGGGAGAAGGCTTCATGGGGACTGGAGGGGAGAGAGCGAGCGTGCCGACTCTTGCCTGGAAAGCGAGCTCTGAGGGCGGCCCCATCCCTGCCTGTCCTCAGGGAGTCCCCATAGTGACCTCAGGCTTCTCTCTTCTTCCAGCCCTTTAACCACAGACACAAGGTGGCCAAGTTCTGCTATGCAGACAAGGTGAGTCCCTGGCAACTGTGGGGTTGGGGTGCTGCCCCCTCTTGCCCTGCTAGTTGCTGACGCGCAGGTGGACGTCAGTCACTCCTTTCCTCTCTGGCCGTGGGTGTGGGGGCGTGAGGGGCGGCTGGCACTGAGTCTCTGGGTGGGCATCTTTGATGGGGCCAGGCATGCAAGGGTTGACTTGAGCCAAGGGGCGCTGCCTGGGCTAGGGCTGGGACACCCCCACACGGCCCTTTCGGGGAGGTAGATCCTGGTTTGGGAGATGGGAGTCGATTCTGGAAGGTTGAGTCAGGGACATTGAAGGCATCGTGGATGGAAAGCCAGGCAGAGAACTGGCATCATGGAGCGCCAGGCAGAGGGGTGGGGTGACCTGTGGCTGGGGGTCCAGGAGCTGGCATCAAGTGGCAGTGAGGGCAGTTGGCGTCTGCGATGCCAGCAGCAGGTGGATGTCTCAGGCTGTGGTTCTGCCTGGCGAGGGCAAGGCTGGGCCCCTGACCTCCAGGCTGGAGGCTCCGGCAGGTTCAGGAGCCCCAGGTCCCAGGACTGCAGCGAGGCCCCGATGAGCCCACAGAGGCAGTGGAGCAGGTTTAACAGCTGCAGGCCTCAGTGCCAAGTCCTTGGCAAGTCCCTCAGACTTCTCCAGACGAGAAGGATGGGCTCCGAGCCTGGGGCGCCCCAGCTGACAATGGGACCACAGGGTCTGCAGCAGCCGGGAGCCAGGGGTCTCCAGATCTCTCCTCCCTTGCTCACTCCCCTGGGGCCCTTCCTGCTGCGGGAGGAAGCCCCTCACCTTTTCCTCTTCGTCAGGCCCTGCTCAACAAAGCCATCGAGGCCGCCTTGGCTGCCAGGAAAGAGTGGGACCTGAAGCCTGTCGCTGACCGGGCCCAGATCTTCCTACGGGCGGCGGATATGCTGAGCGGGCCGCACAGGGCGGAGGTCCTTGCCAAGACGATGGTGGGACAGGTGAGGTGCCCTTGGGCACAGTCGGGGTCGGGTGGGGGCACTCCTGCCCCATTCGATCCAGCAGACATCAGCTGAACAGCTTCAGGGTGCCAAGCCCTGCCCTGTGTGCTGGAGACCCAGAGATGTCCTTGGGTGACGAGGCCTAGGAGAGGGGACTGTGCTTGGCCTGCATATCCTACTGTGGAAATGCCCCCTCCCCTCCCCTCCGCCCCGTCCCGGGCCAGGCCTTTGTGGGGCTTTGCCTGGACTGACAGGTGCCCTGTGCGGTCCTGCAGGCTCGGGCAGACCCTGCAGCCTTCAGTGGTCGGTCTGACACCTCCAGCAGGTCACTCCAGGCTTATGAACCACCAAGATGTCTGTCACTGAGAGTCACGTCCCAAGGCCTGAGCCCAGCACCCAGGGCCCTTTGTTTCCGGCCTCTGTCCAGCTCGCCAGCTGCTCTGCCCTTCCCGCCAGGCCATCCCACCATGATGTTGCCATTTGCAAGATTCCTGGACTGTGGCCATCCCATCCCGTCTCCCTGCCTCCGCCCTGTGTCTCCTGCCTGGAATGCTCACTCTTCTCTGCCCCTTGAACTCTTACCCGTCAAGGTCCAGTCCAGATATCACCTCCTCTGTGAGGCTTCCAGAACCTTCTCTGTCCAAAAGGATCAGCCCCGCCTCCGTGCTCCCGTAGCATGCTGTTCATTCGTCAGTTACAGCCTGGATCGCACGGGGTGTCATGACTTCCCATGTGTTTGTCCCTTGTACAAGCTTTTTGGGGACAGTCATCATGTGCTACTGTTCTCCTTCTTTCTGTGCCTTGCACCGTGTCTTCCTGGAATTGGAGGAGGTCCTGATGGGCGTTTTTGAGCAAGTGCACGTTGAGCCTGCGAGCGGCACGTGCAGCACAGAGCTGGGGAAGGAGCAGAGGGAAAAGGTTAATTTCGCCACCTCCAGGCATGAGCCTTGGGTTGGGTCAGCCCAGAGCTCTTGCTGGGGGGTCCGCACTGAGAGCCCCTGCTGCTGCCCGGAGGTGGTACGACAGCCCCACGCCCGGCCAGCTGTCTCCTGGTTCTCTCAGCCCCTGCTGTGGGTGTCGGGCTGTGGAGTGTCCCGTGGGCCACGCTCGGGCAGGCAGAGCCACACACACTCCAAGATCAGATGGAGGTGCCTCTCGATTTGACTAGACACTCAGGAGCTTGTGGGAAGTGTGGTGGCCGCACAGAGTGGGGGTGATGCAGCTCAGCTCAGCTTCCCTGCTCCGTGTCCCGAGCAGGACGAGCAGCTGCCGGTGACCCTGTGTGCCAAGGAGGGGCTGCCCCGTCCGAGAAAGCCCATTCTTGCTGCCCAGCGTCCTTTCCTCATGGCTCATGTTGCCATCAAGAAGAACGGACAGTCTAAGGAGATGTTTGCAGTCCTCAGGCCCCCTGGTCTTGGCCCAGATGCCCCCAGCGAGGGCGCATGATCATCCCCTGGAACGAGCCGCCAGCATCCTGCACATGATGTCACTGTGGGCGCAGGGTCCAGTGTCAGGAGAGGGCTAACTGGAGGCACATCTGCCACCGCCGACCCCGGCCCTCCCACCTCGCAGGGTAAGACGGTGATCCAGGCGGAGATCGACGCCGCGGCCGAGCTCATCGACTTCTTCCGATTCAATGCCAAGTTTGCCGTGGAGCTGGAGGGGCAGCAGCCGATCAGCGTGCCGCCCAGCACCAACAGCGTGGTGTACCGGGGGCTCGAGGTACCCACAGCGGCGGGCGGCGGGGCGGGGCGGGCAGGGGCTGCCTGAAGCTTGAGCTCGGCCTCACCGCCCCCTCCTCGTCCCCCAGGGCTTCGTGGCAGCCATCTCCCCATTTAACTTCACTGCGATCGGCGGCAACCTGGCGGGGGCGCCGGCCTTGATGGTGAGACGTGGGCAGGGGGTGGGGATGGCGGGAGTGAGTCATCGTCCCCTCTGAACAGACAAGAGGCCACACCCGAGCCCCCCGGGTCCCGGCCCTGGTCGCGGGGAGAAGCACAGGGGGTGGGGGCGGCGAGGGGCTTATTTGTCAGGGTCGCACGGTGAGTAAATGATGCGACAGAAAAGGATTCAGGCTTAGTTTTAAAGTCACTGGGCACCACTGCCGTTATCAGGGTGGAGGTGGCCATCGCCCTCGTGAGCTCCCAGTCTGATGGGGGAGACGCAGCCTTGCCCTCAGAGGGCCTGGGGGCTCATGGAGTTGCAGGAGGCGGGCTGAGAGTTGGGGGGGGTCTGGACCCCCGCCCCAGGGCAGCCGGGTGAGCTGGAGGATGCTCGTGCACAGACAGGCGGGGTGCACGCCGAGGTGCCCACGTGCCCTCAACCAGGACACATGCAGGGAGCCCTGTGAGCACTTGCCCAGCTATGCCCAGTGACGCCCAGTGACTCAGACACACCCAGAACACACATGCCCGAGGGTGCTGGCAGGATGAGACTGCACAGGCTTCCAGAGGAAGGGAGCCCTGGCCAGAGTGTGGGAGCAGACAGGGCAGGGTGGGGTCTTGTTGGCAAGGGCTGTTAGAGCAGAGCCTGACACCTGGAGGAGTGGGGTTGGGTAGGGGACATCCTGGCCTGCACAGAGGCCTGGTGGTTCCCGGTGGGGGATGGCCATGCTTCGGGGTAGGGTGGGAGTGGGGGCTGGTGGGCCATCACCTTGCCTCCCGGGCAGGGCAATGTGGTGCTGTGGAAGCCCAGTGACACTGCCATGCTGGCCAGCTACGCCGTCTACCGCGTCCTCCGGGAAGCTGGCCTGCCCCCTAACATCATCCAGTTTGTGCCGGCTGATGGGCCCACATTTGGGGACACTGTCACCAGCTCAGAGCATCTCTGTGGCATCAACTTCACAGGCAGCGTGCCGTAAGTCCCTGGGCGGGGCGGGTGGCATGGGAACGTTCACCAGGCAACGGCCTCGTCACCTCTGTCCAGGAGCTGGGGCTGTGAACCCAGAGGTCAGGCACTGACCGTGCCCACTTACTCGCTGTGTGGCCGTGGGTGAGCCACTTCACCTCTCTGAGCCTCGCTTTCTTCCCCTGTACAACGGGAGCGATTCTGCCTCCCCTGCAGAGTAGTTTTGAGGGTCAGATTAGGTGATGAGCAGGGAAGAGCTGCGAAGGCTGGAAGCAGCCTGCGGGGGTTTGGCGATTTCGAAGTCACCTCTGCTACTGGAAGAGGCTCGAGGGCGCTTGGAAGGAATTGCAGGAGGAAGTCAGGAAGGCTTCTTGGAGGCAGTGGCATCAGACGGAGAAGTTGCCAGACGAGGGGGGTGGGGTGGGGAGAATGTGGGAGGTGGAGGTGGCCTCATGTGGCCCAAGTGGCGTTCGGGGGCTGAGGGTAAGAGGGTGGGGGCGGGGCTTGGTTCCATTGCGGTTGTTCATTCCTTCACTCACCCAGCAGGGCTTTATCGAGCCCCTGCTCAGCAGTGTTCTTGAGAAGTAGACAAGACCCCACCTCTCGGGGATTTAGTCCGCTGCCTCTAAGGCCCTGTGAGCCCGCTAAGGTGTGGACTTTTTCCTGAAGGTCATGGGAGCCATGGAAGGTTTTACACAGAGGGAGTGGCTTAATCAGAGTTCTGTTTGAAGCAGAGGTCGCAAATCCAGGGGGCCTGGCGAGGGGCTCTCCTGGTCGTGATGGACCAGCCTTGTACAACTGGGACAGTTTCATGTAAAAACCCAAATGTTGTTCTCTTGATGACCTGGACCGTCTGGTCGCTGGGCCTGCATTTCCATGTGGTGCCACTGGCCGGAGGCGGGCAGGCGCTCTCCGGTTCCCCACTGTGCCCCCCCAGCCCGGGTCTCTGCATACCCAGGTGGCCTTCACTCCCTGCCTGGCCCCTCCGGGCCCCTGCGTTCGCAGCCTCTGGCCCAGGTGACCGCTCTGGCTGCTCTGTGCTAGTGGCCAGAAAGAGGTCGGTTAGGAGGCCGTCCACATCCGAGGAGGGGCCCGAACCTGGGTGGAGACAGCGGGCAGACGGGGAAGGGGCCGATGCAAGTGAGCGAGGAGCAGGGTCAGTTGGGGTCAGTGGGAAGGTCCAGGCTCGGGTGGGGCAGGAGGTGGGCGCCTGGGAGGCTTGGCCCAAGAAGATGACCCACCTGCCGGTCACTTCGCGGCTGAGGTGCCCGAGGGCCACTGGGGTTCCAGTGTCGAGGTTTGCACTCGGGGACCTTCCAGGTGTCCTTGGGGACGTCTGCGATGACTTCTCGCCTCTGCCGGCCTCAGGCTCCCCCCGCCGCTTCCCGCCAAGCTTTACCGGGTGGCGACGGCAGCGTCAGACTTGCTGAGGAGGGCCGTTTTCCAGAAGGCCCGCTCTGCTGCCGCCGGCCCCGCGGTCCCTGCCGATTAGCGGGTGGCGCGGCCCGGCCCCATTTGCCATGCTCTGAGGAGCAGCGGGCTCAAAGGTGGGAGAGTCATAAATTAGTATTAGCTGCTGTGTCTCCGGCTCCCTGCTGATTAGCATTTTTATTGTTTTCTGCTGCTGAGGTTGGTCACACTCGCGCAGCTCGGGGAGGAGGCGGGGCCCCGGCACGCTCTCCCAGGACCTTCCTCAATTCGGCCTCTGGAAGCCTGGGCACTGGGCCAGGGCGTCCCTCCCAGACCGTGACAGCGTCTGTCCCCATCAGGCACCCGCAGAGTGCCCAGCACTGTCCTGAGCACTTGACTCGCATTAGAGTGAATCACAAAACAGCCCTGCCAGGTGGGATCCTTCTCTCTTGTTTCCAGAGGAGGTGCAGAATTAGAGGCTCAGAGAGGTTAAGTGATGAACGTAAGATCACACAGCCGTGAGTGTCTCAGTCAAGCCTTGAACCCAGCACCCTCTGGCCTTCTCTGCCCCATCTTGCCGCCAAGCCTCCCCTTGCTCCCTCCCTGTAGACTCAGAATGCAGCCATTTCCAGCTGCCACCACCTCCTTGCTTCCCCGCCACCATGGCTGTGACCCCTGCCCGCCTCCTGCTGGGCTGCGACCCTGGCCCTCCTCCCTGGGCTTTTCGGCCCCTTCCTCTGGTGGGGGCAGCTCCCCTCTCCCCAAGACCCTCACCATCTCAGGAACCTCAGCCCGGCTCCCTAACCGTGTCCTCTGGTTTCAGTACCTTCAAACACCTGTGGAAGCAGGTGGCCCAGAACCTGGACCGGTTCCGCACCTTCCCGCGCCTGGCCGGAGGTAAGGGCCCCTCGCCACCCCTTCCCCGTGGCCCCAGGGACCCCTCCCCTGGCCACGATGGAAGAGGAGGAGGTGGAGGTGATGCAGCTGTAGGCGGGGAGGCCGTGCAGGAGTTGAGAGCTGGGTGCTGGGGCGGAGGCAGGTCCGCAGTTGTGCAGAGCGCTGGCGCCTCAGAAGGTGCATTTTTTCACTCATTCGTCAGTCCTTCAGCAAATAAATTATTAAGTGTCCGTGTAGCTACTTTCTGGACACTGGGGATGCAGAGATGAGGAGTGGCAGACCCAGCCCTTGCCAGTCTGTTCCAGTAGCAGGAGGCAGTCAATAGACAGATAAGTGGCGTCAGGTCATGACCGGGGCCATCAAGAATTAAAAGAGGGAAAAGAGGTGACGAGCAGAGCGCCCAGGGGCTGGGTGCGGTGGTGACCCGAGTGGTCAGGTGGCCCTCTTCACGGAGGGAGCATTTGAGCGGAGACCTGAACGAGGAGAAGCAGCCAGCCTCGCAAAGACCTGGGGGCGGGCCCTCTGGGGCACCAGTGCCGTCCAGTAGAATGTCCCGCGATGATGGAAACATTCTCTATCTGCGTGTCCGACGTGGTAGCCACCAGCCCTGTGTGGCCATCACATACTTGAAAGGTGGCCGCTGGGGCCAAGGAAGGGAATCTTCTGTTTTGTTGAATTTTAATGAGTTTGAATTTAAATAGCCACTTGTGGCTGGCGTCTACCGTGTTGCACGGCCCGGATCTCGGCAGGGGAGACTGCAAACAGAGGCCGTGGGGTGGGAATGAACTTGTACGTGGGGAGACGAGGCCAGCGTAACTGGAGTAATGCCAAGACCTCAAGAGAGGGAGGTGGCGACGGGAGATGGAGCTGAGAGGTCCGGGACGGGAGATGGAGCTGAGAAGTCGGCAGGGCTAGATCTTACTGAAATGTTACTAGCTGTCCCGTGAAGCAGCATTCCATGGTCAGGGAAATGAGGCACCGCTGTGTTAAAGAAAAATGGATTCCTCGCCTGCAGGACCTCTCAGAGCCTTTAATGCTCCAACTTGCATTGTACATCTTCAAGAGCAAGGTCTGATGTGTGTTTCCCCAACTCTTGGGGCCACAGAAGCACACTTTTGCAGAGGCCCCGTGGCCCAAGTGTTTCGTGGAACATGCTTTGGGAAAATGCCGAGACCTCGAGAGAGGGAGGGCTGTCTGGGGCCACACAGCACGGGGTCGGCAGAGCTGGGGCTGTGGGTTCAGTGCCCCTACTCCTGGGGTGAAGACTGGACCCCACTCCTGAGCCATGGGGAGCTTTGATGGGGGTGTCAGGGAAGGGGAGCCCTCCTCAGGGCCAGCTCTCGGCCCCCAGTGCCCCAAGTCCAGCCTCCGCGAGATGGGGACCAGCAAGCCGCTTCGGGGAGCTGCCCATGGTTTTCTGCTGTCTCCTTTCCCCGCCCCCCTGAGGGAGAGGGACGCTGCCAACTCTACCGCAGCCCACCCTCGAGCCTGTGATTGGATCTTTCCACCTCAGTTTTCTCGTCTTTAAAATGGGAATAACAGCGGGAGGTGGTGAGATTTCAGCGGGACAGGCAGAGGCCCCGGACAGTCCGGCAGCCACTCAGTGCTCTGTCACTGGAGCTGCTGTTAGCTGATGCTTGTCCGAGGGAGGAAACCGAGGCTGGAGCGTGAAGGACCTGCCTGAGCTCCCTCATCCTAAGGAGATGGGAGCAGTCCCCCTGTGGGTAGGAAGAGGGCCCCGCCCTGGCCGTGCTCCTCTCACTGGGTGGGGTGACTCAAGGAGTGCTGTGCCCACTTCTGGGAACGGATTGACCCTCGGGAGCCTTGGGTGCTGGTCCTCCTCTGCCCTTAGGTCGGGCAGCACCCTGACCCTGGCCTCCGTTTTCTCGTCTGTGGAGGGGGAGGATAGGCCCGGCTCCTCGGTGTCCAGGATGTTGTCCAGCCCTAATTCTACAGCTCCTCCTGCTCCCATCCGTCCGGGACTGGGGGCTGATCGCAGGCCCCTGGGATGGGTGTGGGCAGCGTGCAGGGTCCCCGGGCTGGTGTGGGAGCCGGCCCTGCTCCCCGAGTCACCCCGCGCCCCGGCCCTTGCAGAGTGTGGGGGCAAGAATTTCCACTTCGTCCACCGCTCGGCCGACGTGGACAGCGTGGTGAGTGGGACCCTGCGCTCGGCCTTCGAGTACGGCGGCCAGAAGTGCTCGGCCTGCTCGCGCCTCTACGTGCCCCGCTCGCTGTGGCCGCAGATCAAAGGGCGGCTGCTGGAGGAGCACGGCAGGATCAAAGTGGGCGACGTGAGTGGCGCCTTCCTCCCGCCGCGGCGCAGCGGGAGGCTGATGGGATTGGAGGCTCCCGCGCGGGGCGGGGGGGCTGGGGCGAGTGGGGAGGGGCTGCCTTTGTCCCGGGCCTGCGGTGACTCGGTCTCTTCGTCTCCCCTTCCTCCAGCCTGCAGAGGACTTTGGGACCTTCTTCTCCGCGGTGATTGATGCCAAGGTACGGGGAGCAGCGGGCGTTCCTGGGGCCGGGGCCGAGGCCGGACCGGGGGGAGACGGAGGAGGGGCGGGGGCCTGAACCCGGGCGACCGGGCCCATTGCTTCCAGCAGGGCCGCTCCGGCCACACGTGCACCCCGCCCCAGCTTTGGACGAGGCGGAGTCGGCCGTAAGCAGAGAGCTCGCCTCCCGCACCCCTGCCGCCGGGCTCAGCTGGCTCCCCGCAAGTGCGTGTGTGCCTGTGCACGCGCAGTAGGCCCTCCCATCTGCGTGTGGGTGTGCATGTGGGTCTCCCACAGGAACACACACATCCACACGCACATATCTCCATACATGGACAAATCCACCCACGGGTGTGCACGCACACACATTCGTGTACATGTTCATGTATGTATAGAGGCCACGTGTAGGTCTTCATGCGTGAGCATAAGCATACATATACCTATGTACTTAATCATGAGGACAGGTGGCCGTGCGTATGCGCTTGTGTACACTTGTGTGTGTTGTGTTTATACGTGAGTACACCTGTACTTCTACCACACGCGCACACATGCGTGTGAGTGTGCGCATCTGCCCTCGTCTCCGCCGCGGCTCAGCCAGACTCGGCGTCCGCCCTCGCCCCTCCCATTTCGGGTTCGGGCCCTTCTGGGACGGTGTTTCCGGGATGTGTGTTGGGGGCTGCTGCTGGGAACGGCCCCCCAGCCGGCCCTGATGCCTCTCCTTCCGCCGCCGCAGTTCCTTCGGCCGCATCCGGAAGTGGCTGGAGCACGCCCGCTCCTCGCCCAGCCTCACCGTCCTGGCAGGGGGCAAGTGTGATGACTCGGTGGGCTACTTTGTGGAGCCCTGCATCGTGGAGAGCAAGGACCCTCAGGAGCCTATCATGAAGGAGGTAGTGGGGCAGCAGCCTGGGTGTCGAAGGGTCAGTCTCACCCGAGCACAGCGTTGGCACAGGGCCTTTGCATGGCATTTTTTCTCGTGCCATTACCCCATTTCACGGATGAGAAACTGAGGCTCCGAGGAGTCAAGGCACTTGCCCAGGATGGCAGTGCAGGGGTGGGGGTCCTCCCCCAGAGGCTGGCAGAGGGGACAGTGACACTGCTGGGCGGTTCCTGTGCCAGTTGCTGTCGGAAGTCCCCCGTTTCCGAGGGTCTGGGCCCTGGCTCTACAGGGCGGGTTTGGCCAGCAGCCAGGGCCAGAAAGTTTCTGGGCTCTTTTGCTGGGTGGGGTGGGGTGGGCAGGGCAGGGGCTGAGCCTGTGGCTGTCCTCGGAGGGGCCCGGGCAGGAGGCCGCGCCTGCAGGGGCTCAGGAGAGGGCGCAGGCTGAGCCTGGGCTCCTCCCCCAGGAGATCTTCGGGCCTGTGCTGACCGTGTACGTCTACCCCGACGACCAGTACAAGGAGACGCTGCGGCTCGTGGACAGCACCACCAGCTACGGCCTCACGGGGGCAGTGTTCGCCCAGGATAAGTGAGTGGCCGCGGCCCCTTGGCTCCCGGCCTGGTGTCCTGCCCCCACCCTGGAGACCGCCCTCCTGGACCCGGACTCTAGTAATCATGCCGCCCCTGCTTTCTCCCTTCAGCCCGACTGGCTGGCGGCCGAGCACAGTCCGGGGAGGCAGCCAGCTCTTTGCTAAAATGCAGGGCCAGGAGCCCCGCATGAGTCTGAGCATCTCGGGGCGGCCCGGGATCTGCGCTTTAACTGGCTCTGGGATTTGATGGCTCATGCTGCACAGCGGGAGAGGGGCTCGGGGCGCACTGCTCATCTCCAGAGGCAGGAGTCGAGTCTGGGGCTCCTGCCAACCTGAGGCTCGGCCTTTCCTTCCTCCCAGGCACTGGGGCCACCCTGTGTCCACCTCTGAGAGTGGAGGTGGGATTGGAACCTGAGTGGGGAGGGTCTGGGGGTTCCCCTGGCTCCCGATGGGCAGGAAAACTGGACCAGGATGGGCCACTCCCGTGAGTGTGTGTGGCTGACCCTCCATCGTCCTGTTCAGTCCTTGAACAGCCCTGCTGGGAGGTGAGGGGGAAGCTGAGTCTCAGAGACTCTAAGCACCCTGCCCAAGGGTGCACAGCCATGGGCTGGCCCGTGTCACTGGTCCCCGACTTGGCCTAGTGCTTCACCTGGATGGCTGGCGTGGGCGGGGGCAGGTGAGGGGTTGGAGGTGGGACCCGAGGCTGGAGGGCGGGGTGAGCGGCTGCCCTCTTACTGCTGCCCCGCCTGGTAGGGACGTTGTCCAGGAGGCCACCAGGATGCTGAGGAACGCTGCTGGCAACTTCTACATCAACGACAAGTCCACCGGCTCGGTGGTGGGCCAGCAGCCCTTCGGGGGGGCCCGAGCCTCTGGTGAGTGGGTGCACCTGTCCAGAGGGGAGCCGAGTTCCTGGCGGGAGACCCTTTGTCTCCAGGGTGTTAGGAGTAATAGGAACAGTGCCACTTAACGAGCACTGTGGCCCAGGGGCTGTGCTAGCACAGGGTGCTGTCAACAACCTCATGAGCTGAGGCACTATTATTCTTCTTCCCATTTTATGGAAGGGGAAACTGAGGCCCAGGGAGGTGATGTGATTTGCCCCGGGGCACACAGCTAGGATGTGGTGGAGCTGGCTTTTGTCCCAGCACCCACACCTTTTACCACCATGTTCCAGGTCACTTCAGTCCAACACCCTCCGTTTTACAGATGGGGAAACTGAGGCTTACAGAGGGGTAGTGACTTGCCAAAGGTTCCAGTGGCCGAGTGTCAGAGCCAGGCTAGAACCCACATTTCCTGACCCCCAGTCTAATGCTCCCTCCCGCATGCATCCCTGCCTCCCAGACACCCCTTGCGAGAGGGCTGCATGGACCCTGGAGCAGACCGCCTGCCTGCTCGTCAGGCCCTGCCTGTCCAGCTGTGCGCGCTCCGCACGATGCGCCCGGCACCTGGGCTGCTTGAACTCGTGTAGCGTTAGTTTAGCTGCTCTCTGCCCGGGCTGGGGCCCCTTTATTCCGTCAACTCCCCACCCTTTTTCCTTCTGCCCAGAGCTGTTGTGTCTTTTCGGAGGATGACAGAGCTGTCATTTCTGCAGGAACCAATGACAAGCCGGGGGGCCCCCACTACATCCTGCGCTGGACGTCGCCCCAGGTCATCAAGGAGACCCACGCGCCTCTAGGGGACTGGCGCTACTCGTACATGCACTGAGCCCCGCGCGGCACCTCGCTGTCCTCTGTCGTCTGTCCAGACTACTGACTTCGCTGCACTGGCCCGTCCCAGCCCCTCCAACCGGCTCCCCACAGACACCCCCCTTTCTAGGGCCGACATCTGCCCCGCTGCCCCCCACCGGCCCATATCCTGGCCCGTCCCGCCCTCGGGGTCAGGTGCTGGCCTCTGGTTTGGGATCACGCCAGGGAGGAACAGGGCTGTTACCTCCTATTCCGTCAGCCACCCTAGAAATCCCATCTGGCAGGTAGGACCTTGGTCCCGGCTGATTCTGTCTGTCCTTTTCTCCTTACACTGTGGTCTAGTGGCTTAGGGACCTGTGGCGGTGGAGCAGCTCCCAGGATCCCTTGGGGACAAGGAGGCAGCTCTGGGCCCACAGAGAGAGGCTTCTGGCCTTGGCCCTGGCTCCACCAGCTCTCCAGGGCTGGGTGTGACCGGGTGGCCTGCAGGGCATGGGGCACCAGCTGGCCTCGCCCTCCCGGTCAGGGCTGCCCACCGTCCTCACAGGCGCTTCACCCAGACCCGCCTGACCCCACAGGGGCCTGTGCCAACATGCGCCTTAGACACCCGTGTGCCTTTCTCCAGGGGCTTGTGTCCGCCTGAGGACCACGTGGTCCCTGCCATCTCCACGTGCTGGGGCGGGGGCTGCCGCTGGAGGCCACCTGCCGAGGGGGGGACATGCTGGTCCTTCCTGTCTGGGCTGTGAGTTTGGGAGCCCTGGGGGGCCTCCGTGCCGTGTTAGCTGCCCCCAAGCTCTCTGCTCCTGCCTCGAGACACGGCCACACTCTGCGCCTGGGTTTTCCTGCAGGAGCTCCGTTCCCGCCGAGCGGTGGTGGAACGGGCCCAGGCAGACGTTGCTCCCACCTCTCAGCCCCGGAGACATAGCCTGGGTCCCCCTCCAGCCTGGGCTGAGGTCGCCTGTAGAATCTTGTCTCCCATGCGTGTTAGTGGCTCTGTATGGACTGGCTCCTTGGTGGCCTGTGCTTTGTTGGACGCAGCCAATGGGTGGACACTGGCGAATATCTCCGGGTCGGATTCTGGGTGGCCAGGGAGCCATAAGGGGTGACTTTTAGGGGGCCCTGAGAGTGCTGGGCCCTCCCCCGGACGGCTGGTGTGGCCTTTCCCCGAGTGCCACGATTTCCCGCTGCACCGACGGTCGGGTGGGCACCAGTGCTGCCCGGGCTGGCCCGGGTCCTGCCTCCTTCCAGTTCTGCGCTGTTTCCCTGAGGGGCCGGGGTGGTCGGCGGGGGCTGGATGTGTCCTGGTTCTACTGCACTGTGAGGTGGCAACAGGATTCGCCCTGGTGCCCCCAATAAAATGCCTGTTACTTCACCCACTCGGTGGTCTTTCTGGTGGGGGTGACAGGGGCCGGCCGACTTCTCCCAACACTGGTGGTGTTGCCAATGTGTCACCCGTGTCAGGGTGCAGATCCTGAGTGTGATGGCAGGAAGGGTGGGCGCTGATGTTTGGGAATACCTGCTGGAGGCGGCGGGAACGTGAGTCACATAGGCTGGGGCTGGGTGATCTCCAGAAAGTTACACAACCTCTCTGACCTTCTGTCTCTTCATCTGTAAGTTGAGCATAATAATACACACACACACACACAAACACACCTGTCATGAGAATTAAATGAGTTAATTCCTATAAGTCCTTAGTACAATACCAGACACATAATTAATGATTCAAAAACATTGCCATTTACCTATTGTAGCAACCACTGCTATGTGCTGTGATGGGTAATTTTGTGTCAACTTGACTGGGCACGGTGCCCAGATATTTAGTTAAATGTGATTCTGGATGTTTCTGTGAAGGTGTTTTTTGGATGAGATTAACATTTAAATCAGTGGACTTTGAGTAAAGCAGATTGCCCTCCATCATGTGGGTGGGCCTTCTCCAATCAGTTGAAGGCCTTAACAGAACAAAGACTGACCTCCATGAGCAAGAAGGAATTCTGCAGGCAGACGGCCTTTGGCCCCCCTGCAGCTCCTCCCTGGGTCTCCGGCTGCTGGCCTACTCTGCGGAGTTTGGGTTTCCTGAGCCCCCATCACGGTGTGAGCCGGTGCCTTACGATGCCTCTCTCCCTCTCTGCCTGCTCTTGGTTCTGTTTCTCCCTGAACCCTGACTGATGCCCCTGCCGGGGGCTTTGCATACGTTTTCTCACTCCCGACAGCTTGTGAAGTCAGTGCTGCTGTGCTCCCATTGTGCGGACGAGGAAACAGGTACAGAGAGGTGAGGGGACTTGCCCAGGGTGCGGTGTGTCTGGGATGTAAACCCAGGTCTCTCCAATTCCCAAAACCCATTCTGTCCTCCACCTGGATGTCCACACTCGGTGCTGAACCGCCTGGGAAAGATCCGCTCAGCTGGCCAAGGGATGAGGTGGAGGGGCCACTGTGGCCAGTTGGCTGGAGCCCAGAATCCGTGGGTCCAAGCCGCCAGCTGGGGAGGGGATGATGTCCATCCTGGCCCGTCTCCATCCAAAGATCACGTGTGAGTTGCTGCTCCTGAACGGCACCGATACCTCCCTGTCGGAGCCCGTGGACCGGAGCCGCCGTGAGGGCGACAGAGACTTCAGTCCGCGGCAGAGCCCCCCGCCCTGCTCACCCGGGGCAAATCTGCTGATTTGTGCAAGAGGGGGCTTGATGCAGAGACAGAGGGCAGCACCTGGAGGACCCGGGCCGGGCTCGCGGGAGGGGAGTGGGGAGAGCCTGTGTTTTTATAGTCGCTGTACGTAGGCCAGTTAATGTTTTTGAGCAAATGGAGTGACTTGCTCCAGGTCAGGCTGAGCCGGTAGCAGAGGTGGCTAAGTACGAATGCAGTGCCTTAGCTGCCTAGTCTCATGACCTTGACACTGACCTTCCCAGGTAACTTATCTGCCTTCTGTGGAAGGACTGATGGAGGTCGGGGTGGAATGACTGGCTCGAGCTGGTTAGTAGGGGGCCCAGGGTTTGAACTCAGGTCTGTGGGTGCCCACAGCCCACGCTCCTTGGCCCCTGCCCCACCAGGTCCGCGTCTTCCAGCTGCCTCTCCACCACTGTCCTTGTGCCCTGCCCTCCCCCGCTGGGTGCCTTTGCCTCCGTGTTTCCAGGGCAGGGGGCGGCTCAAAGCCATCACTCACTCTGTTCTCTCTGCCCTCCCTGGTCCCCCAGACTTGGGGCTGGCGGTTCCGGAGCGGGCACAGTGCACGCCCGGGTGCCCGAGGCCTCTTTGCATGGTCACCGCAGTCAGTCCCCATGTCTGCGGTGGCCCACAGAGCCTCTTCATTTCCCTGCTGTGGCTGGGGGCCTGGCCGCAGGTCTGGGCTCGCAGCATGAGCCATTTGACTGAGGCCGGATGTCCACATGCCACCGCCGTTCCGCAGGCTGCCAGTGGGGCATACTCTTTAAGGAAATGAGGGGCCACCTGTGCTGGCTGCTGGCCACCGGGCTGGCCGGAGCTCCTGGGGGCCGGAGGAAGCAGCAGGGTGCCGGCCCACCCTCTTCATGGAGTCACAGCTTCATCTTTGTTCATCTACCTACCACACACGCATTCATCACGGTCCCTGTATGTCCTCTGTGTGGGGCCAGCTTGCTTGAGTGCAGGCCGGGGGCCGGGCGTCATGCTAAATGCTTTAGACGTCACACCCTCGGGCCCTCCACCGCCACACCGCAGGTACATTCTGTTCCTCCCCGTTTCACAGAGGAGCCCGACTGAGGCTCAGGGAGGTGCAGAGACCCGCACATAAGGATGCAGCCAGCTGTGTCCCCCTCACTCAGGTTGTTGCCAGTTGCCCTGGATGGTGGGGCAGGTGCCACATGGCCCTGAGGCCTCGAGGGTGCATCGGAATTCTGTTCCAGAGCCCCTGCTGTGCCCTCCCTCCAGATCCACGTGCCCAGCAGTTACCTTCTGCCCCCGGAGCCTTTGGCGCAGAGAGGCCTTGGTGAGGAGGAGAGCTGATGTCCCTTGGGGCGCCTGCTCTGTGACGTGCATCAGGGTGGGCATCGTGGCGAGGGGAGTGAGGCTCGGATGGGAACGCCTGTGAGAGGTCGTATAGCCAGTAAGTGGCAGAGCCGGGGTTGGAACCCGGGCCGGTCAGACCTCAGCCTCAGGAAGAGGAAGAGGTCCCGAGTCATAGACCCCACCCTTTTCTTGGGGCTGAAATCGAGGGCCCCACCCCAGCTCCATGCCGGGAAAGAAGCCAGCAGCACTGTAGTCTAACATTTGCTGTCGTTTACCAGGCAGCTGCGTGATGCGTTACCTCACTGGGGGTGGCTGGGGCCAGCCCTTTCTGCTCCCATCCAGAGCTCCCCGAGCCTCTTCCTCCCCAGGCGGAATGTCCCCATTCCTTCGTCTGCTCCCTGTGGGACACAGTTTCTGGCTCTTTGTCCACTTTGTGACCTCCTCTGGTGGTGCCAAGGAGAGCAGTCTAGTCATCCTGAGCTGGGAACCTGGCTGTGTGACCTGGGCCGAGTCACGTCACCTCTCTGAGCCTTAGTCTCCTCTTATATAAAATGGGGACATAAGTGTGATAGTACTCATCCCTTACAGTTAGGAGGATTGAATGAGCCACAACATGAAAATGAATCTAGCACTGAGCCTGATGGCCAGGAAGGGATCCGTCAATGTGAGCCATTACTGTTCAAATCATCCACCGTGTGAGGTCTGATCACATCGCATGGCAGGACTGTCACCTCCCTTGTTCTGGACAGTCTGATCCCTTTAGATGTAACCCTTAAGTTTAATGGAAAAAGTATGAGCACTGGAGGGACACAAAAGTGAGTTCAAATCCCAGTGACCTTGGGCAAGCCATGTAGCCTCCCTGAGGCTTAGTTTTGTCATTTGTACAATAGGGATAAAAACCCTCCACAGCACTGTGGTGAGCAGATGCAACGATGTTTGCAATCATAGAGACTCTACAACGTTTGCGTCCCTTCCCTCCGCCTTCGGTGACTCTCACTCTCTTGGCTCTCGCTGAGCTTGTGGTCCTTTGGAACCTCCAGATCTTTTTCTGGTTGAGACATGGCCTGCTTGAGGTCACCTAGGGGAATTTGGCGAGGGGGCCTGGGTAGGTCTTTGGGCTTGATATAGGGTCCCACCCACCGTAGGGTTCTCCCTGAAGGCCTTAGCTGGTCCCTAGTCCCCAGCCTGGGGGACCACCCCATGCATTCCACTTTTGACTTCTGACCTCTCGGAGGGGTGACTGGGAGGCCAGGCCCTCTGAGAAGTGGGTCTGAGGTCTCCGCAGGGACCTCCTCCCAGGTGGCTCAGAGGGCCCATCTCCCACCTTCCTTGAGGTGCCTGTCCACCCCTGCCGCACCCTGAGCCCCAGTGGCACCGGGTTTCCAGCTGCCAGTTTCGTCCCCAAGGAGGCAGGACAGGTGGGAAAGAGACACGGGAAAAGTGGGCCGGGGGCGGGGGACAGAGAAGCCGATGGAGGGACGTGCTGATGGACACAGAGACAGACAGACTGGAGGGCATGATGGGGAGAGGAGCTGATGCAACCCTCAGTCCCTGGGGTCGGCCCCTCCGGGGGTCCCCCCAGGCACCGGCCTTCCTCCCCCCACAGCAGGGGCAGAAGGACATCGAGGGCAGCCCCCTCCAGCTGAAAGCAAACGTGGCCCGTTCCTTTCCGTGAGCCCCGGGGAGCAGATGCCAGGCAAATGGGCAGCTTCTCCAGGGCCCCCCGTTTCCACGGCCTGCCCCCCGGGTACTTTGCATAGTCCTGTCCTGGCTCTCTGTCACCTTGGCAACCAGTGGCCACACAGGTGTGACCACGGGGCCCTGGGGACCTGGGCTGGGCCGTGAGGGGGCAGTTGTGTGAGTCTGGGGCTCTGTGTGCAACCCGGAGGAGAATGGCGATGACGTGGGGCTCCTGGGCATTTGTCCCCAGGGCGGCCAGTGCCCCAGCCTCATCCACTCGCCCCTGTGAGGTGATGTCAAGGCCAGAGGGGACCGCGGGGATCATCTAGCCCAGGGTCCGCGGATGAGGCTCGGAAATGAGGCTGTGGCACCCGGCTCCGGGTGCGCAGCTGCAGGCGCTGGGTGTGCATCAGTGTCCGGGGCTTTGTCAGAACCGCAAAAGGACCCTCGCCCCTGAAATGTTAAGAAACACCGAGTCCATTTCACAGCGGGGGAGACTGAGGCCTGGAGAATGGGGTGGGTTGTTGGAGAGTAGCCTGCAGGTTGGAACAGAGCTGGACCAGAACCCGGACTCGTGACTCTCCATCCAGTGCTCCTTCTTGAGATTTTGGTCGTCAGAGAGCTGGTCCGTCCATGCTGACAGCCCACGCTGAGGAGCTCTCTGTTGAGGGGGACCCGTGATTCCCTCCTCATTGGGCCCTCAGTTGCCCCCACTCCCGGTAACCCCATTGCGGCCTCGGATTCCTCCAATCCACAGACTGGCCATGTGGCCTTGAATAAGTTACTGTTCCACTGTGAACTTCAGTCTCCTCATCTGCAAAACGGGGACATAATGGTAGCGCATCAAAAGGCAGTGAGAATAAAGTGGGACGATGGAGCACACAGAGTGCTCCGCGAAGGGCCTGGCGTGTAGCGAGCCCTCGGAACACAGTGACGATAGAAATAACGTGTGCTCCTTCTCACCGTCACCCTGCCATGCTTCGTGGCACAGACACCTGCCTCCCCCCAGAGTTCTTGGCTGGCCGGCGTTCCTCCGCCCCCCCTCGACTCCCTCTCCCGGCCTGCGTGGCGTGGGGCATCGCAGAGCGGTCCTGACATGCCTTTGACTTAACTAGAGTGGAGAGAGAAGCAACCTGCTTTTCTGGCCCTTTGGCGACTGCCCCTCTCCAGACCTCAGTTTCCCCATCTGTAGAATGGGTAGGTTTGTGGATCTCGCAGGTGCTGGCAGCTCTGACGTGACACACCACACGATGATGGATGGCCCCAGTGCCCCAGCACCTTCCAGCGCCTGCTGCCCTCATGAGGGCCCTGATTTCTGTCTCTACACTGCAAGCCCTATGCCTCACTTAGTGTCACCGGCTGTCCCTTGTCCCACGCCCGGCCCTGCCACATAGCGGGCTCGGCCAGTGCCCGTGGGATTAGTGGCTTCCCCAGCCACTCGTGTTCTCCATCCCCACACCTCACATCCTGGGGTAGGGGCCACACCCCGGGGCTCAGGTTGATTTAGACGCCGTCTGTCTCTGCCCTCCCTGGACCCCTCAGCTTTGCTGAATAGCCTGACTCTGCTGGGGCCCCCAAAGCACCCAGGGCTCCCAGCAGCCGGCGTCATCGTGTTCTCCCTCAGAACTGAGCCGGGCTGACGTCACGCCCTGGAACCCGTCCTTCCCCGACGTCTCGGACTCGAGGTGGGACCTCACTGCGGGAGGGCAGCCCACCCTCCCCCACCGCCGGCAGCCGTGGCGGCGACAGCTCCTGGAGGCAGAACAGCCAAAGTTGCATAGTCCAGCTTCAGCACCTGTGAGCTGTGTGACTCTGGAAGTTGGCTAACCTCTCAGCCTCAGTTTCCTCATCTTAAAAACGGCTGCTTTGCAGGGTCGTGGGAATGAAACGAATGATGCATATGAAGTGACAGCACCGTCCTGGCGTGTGACGAGCCCGGAAAAGCTGCAGTGGCGCTGTTGTCCTTGCAGTTCCCGGCGTGTCTGGAGGGCAGGTGGCTTGATCTCGGAGGCTCCCAGAATGCCATCCTAGGAGGAGCCTCCAGGGACCACTCTCCAAGGAGGCCAGTGTGGCCGTGGCTTGGGCACATGATGGAGAGTAGAGTGGGCTGCAAGGGAGGGACAGAGGAGGACGAGCTGGGACCAGGCAGGGAGGCCTCGAATGCCACGACACAGGAGCTCAACCGTGCCCGTGCAGGCTGTGGGGAGCCCCTGGAGGCGTTAGAGCAGAGGAGCGATGGATGCGGGCAGTGCTTCGGGCATTTAAACTGTCCACGTGAGGCGGACAGAAAGGTCCAGAAAGGAGGTGGGGAGGGTCTGAGCTTGGGGTGGGCAGAAGCGGGGAGGGGTCGGAGAGAAGCTGGAGGACAGAGGGTGGACTGGGCTGGGGTTTGAGACTGGTTCACGCGGAGGGTGGATCAGGGCAGGCCACAGTGGGTCTCATCGTGCAAAGGAGGAAACTGAGGCACGGGAGGGGAGAGCCAGGCCCAGAAGCCACACCTCCAGGCACCTCATGCAGGGCTTTTCCTTTTGTTTTATGGGTTGAGTCTCCGCCTCTCTCCCACTGGTTTACATAGGCCCAGAGAGGGGCAGGGACAGGCCCAAGATCACACAGCCCATCAGGTGTCTCTCTGCAGGAGCAGGTGACCTCTCCCTGTCATTTACGTCTATGTCTGTGGGATGACTCCACCCCAGGAGAGGTCAGGGGCAAGGGAGGCGTGTTCCTTCCGGAGCTGCTAGAGACACTCAGAGTCTTCCAGGGACTTCGAGAAGCTCTGTGCTCTTTCAGCGGGACGCAGAGCCTGTGGGGCCCCCTGTGGCAGTTTGTTTCATTTCAGAAGGGACAATCTCGCACTTTGGCAGATCCACCTGTCTCCAGGGTCTGCTCTGCACCCCGTGATTGCACATGCCACTTTATTTAATCCCCACGTGGATCCGATGAGGCTGGAATTGTGGTCCCTATTTCAGTGGGGGGAGGAAACAGAGGCTCAGAGAGGTTAAGCAACCTGCCTGTGCTCACACAGCAAACAGAGCTGATGTCCCATCAGGTCAGCCAGAGTCAAGCTGCCTCAGGGTTCCTCAGGTGTAGATGCCCCATCAGTGCGAGCCAGTCAACAATGTAAGGCTGTTAGGGGGGCTCAGTGACAATACAGACCTGGCAGTTATTGCAGCTCAGAGCAGGGTGGTTCCTGTGAATTGGGGCCCAGGATGGCTTCTTGGAGAGGGCGAGGCTCAGACTGGGCCTTGAAGGGGGAACAGGGCTCTGCTGGGGTGGGGCCGAGGGAGAGCGCTGGGTTTTCAATCACTGTTTTGTACCATGGAGCCTCCCCACTGCCCGGGACTCAGGAGCACTTGGCAGGCCTGTGACAGACCATCTGAGCTGTGCGTTTTGTGACAAGTCCCCTAAGGCTCCCACTATGCCACACACAGGTAGGGCTGGAAAGGACCAAAATGGCATCACGTGGACAAGGGTCTCTGATTCAAGTGGGTCCCAAATTTGCTGGAGCTGCCTCCCTCCATCCCGCTCCTCAGGGGGTAGTCACCTTTGACCTTAGGAACTTTCAACTTTCCTTTCTGCTAACACCCCTGCCCCTGGGTACTGGGTCCCCCACGGGGCTCCCTAGGGGCTCACTCTGCAGAACTTGCTGACTGATGGTTGCTGGTGGAGAGACGGCGGCCTTGGGAGGGAGGGAGGCCACCCCTCCTGCGCCCCCACCTCCTGGTCTCCCGGCTGCTGCTCTGCTGCTCTCAACGAAGCAGTGACCTCGCAGTGTGTAGTGTGGCGTGGTGATTCAGAGCCGGCCCTGGAGTCTGATGGTGCCACTTCCATCCCAGCGCTGCTGGTTGTGCAACCCAGGGCAGGTTTCTTAACTTCTCTGTGCCTCGGCCCCCTGGGGTTAGGAATTGTCCCGGTTACTGTGAGCATTCAGTGATGCCGAATGACAAGCGCCCGGCATGATGTCTGGTTCTTGCTGACTGTGGCCATTACTTTTGGCACAGCTACTGTGGGTCAGATGCCATGTGTATGTCACCACGTGCCAGGCCCAGATTGGTCGGGCTCTGAAACTTGGGGTCCATCTGCCAGCCTACTGTCTCCTGATGTGAGTACCTATGTCCTTTCCTCCCAAATGTTTGAAACGTCATGGGGACAAGACCTGTCCCCAACCAAGTGTCAGGAGGCTATGGTGTGGCCGTGTTAGCAGGACACCCTCTCTCTCCAAATGGGGTTCCCCCAGACCACCCAGGCCCCACGGTGCCCTAAGAAGGACCATCCTATTCCAGCCTCCTCCCCCTCCCGCAGAGCCCTCGAACCTTTCCACCTGTCACAGGTGCTTTACCCGCCCCCCGGACAGTGGCAGGACCGTGCCTATGTAAATGTCTGTGCAAATGTCCTGGTGTCAAGCTGCCAGCTCTCCAGTGAGGCACAGCCATCTCCCGGGACCCCCACTTTCCAGCCATGGGACCCCAGGCCAGGGCGGTCTGCTCCGTCCTCTTCCTGCTGCAGGTTCTGGCTGAGCCGCCTGAGAACTCGGACTTCTACCTGGCTGGCGATTACCTCCTGGGCGGCCTCTTCACCCTCCACGCCAACGTGAAGGGCACAGTCAACCTCAGATACCTGAAGGTGCCCAAGTGCAAGGAGTGAGTCTCCAGCTGAGGCTGGAAGGTGGCGTGGGCTGGAGTGGGAAGCAGGGGCTGGGCCTGGGGAGGCCAGGCCAGCACCGAGGGCTCAGGATGCTCCTCCTTGTTCACCGCCAAACCCCCATCCTGGGTGCACCCCACTGGCCCCCAGGGAGATCCCACCCAGTCCACGTTACGGAAATCGTTGGCAATTGTATTCTGAAATGCTGAGACCTGATTGTCACAATGTCAGATCTCTTAATAAAGAGTGATAGGATGTTTGAGGCTAGAGGAGCCTTAGAGACTCTCAAAACCATCACTTTGGCAACTGGGGGCCTCCCAGGGGGCCCGCGTCAAGGCCCAGCCTGGAGACCAGGTGCCTTTGGGAGGCAGGATGCGCTTTTCTGCAGCAGGTCCTCGGACTGGAGAGGAAGGCTGTGTTTTCCCAGGGCTGTGGTTGGGTGGGTAGGAGTGCTGTCAGGACTGGAAGGGATTTCCTTCGGCAGTGCCCCCTTCCCCTGTGAGCCCCTTGGCATGGCAGCATCACTCAGAGATTGGGTTGGCCATCTTCCTGCACGCATGGGATCCCGGGATTAGAGTGGTGACCTCGTGCAGAGGGGAAGAAGGCATTCTGGGAGTGAGGCACAAGGAGGGAGAGTGGAGTAGATGGTGAAGGGCTGACTATAAGAAACGCACAAGTTATATGATGTTGGGGAAGGCTGTGTAACGGCTTGAGAATTGTGAGGGTGGTGGTGCCGGTGAAGACACTAAGCATGATGTTGGATGTTCTGATGCTTGCCATAATGGTGGGGAGTCCAACGAAGTGAGGGTGGTGAGGGTGATGATGCTCACCATGGTGATAGCAGTAGTGCTGGTGACAATGAAAATGGTGGAGAGTATGGTGATGATGAGGGCGGTGATGGTGGTGATGGTGAGGTTGATGGTAGTGATGGTGATGATGGTGGTGGTGATGGTGGTGACAATGATGGTGTTGATGGCAGTGATGGTGATGGTGGTGGTAATGGGAGTGATGGTGATGGTAGTGTTGATGGTAGTGATGGTGATGATGGTGGTGGTGATGGTGGTGACAATGATGGTGTTGATGGCAGTGATGGTGATGGTGGTGGTAATGGGAGTGATGGTGATGGTAGTGTTGATGGTAGAGATGGTGGTGATGGTGGTGGTGGTGATGGTGTTGTTGATGGCAGTAATGGTGAAGATGGCGATGGTGGTGGTGATTGTAGTGATGGTTATGATGGTGATAGTGATGGTGATGGTGGTGTTGATGGTAGTGATGGTGATGATGATGATGATGGTGGTAGTGATGGTGGTGATGATGGTAGTGATGGTGGTGATGGTGATGGTGGTGGTGATGGTGGTGGTGGTGATGGTGATGATAGTGGTCCTGGTGGTATTGGTAATGATGGTGACAGTGATGGCAGTAGTGATGATACTGGTAATAGGAATAGTAGATGATGATGGTGAGAGTGGTGATAATGATGATGGAGTGGGTAGTCGTGGTCACATTTGTGGCCATTGGTAGCGTGGTGATGGAGGTCATGGGTATGGTGATAGCAATGGTGGCCACAGAGATCCTAGTGTCAGAGGTGCTCATAGGGACGATGGTGATCCTAGAGACGTGATAATGGTAACAATGTTGTGATAAAAATTCCAGAGTCTTCTGGAGTGGCTCGTTCTTAGGCAACGCCTTGGCCTTCCTATGACAGGCAGGAGGGGCAAGGTGACTCTCCCCTCCCCCGCCCTCCCCTCTCCTCCTCACTGTGGACTTGTCCCCACCCCCACCCTGTGGTGGCCCCCAGGTATGAAATGAAGGTGCTGGGCTACAACCTCATGCAGGCCATGCGCTTTGCGGTGGAGGAGATCAACAACCACCGCAGCCTGCTGCCAGGCGTGCTGCTGGGCTACGAGATCGTGGACATCTGCTACGTCTTCAACAACGTGCATCCCGTGCTCTACTTCCTGGCGGGGGAGGACTATTTACTGCCCATCGAGGACGACTACAGCTCCTACGCGCCCCGCGTGGTGGCCGTCATCGGCCCTGACAACTCTGAGTCCACCATGACCGTGGCTCACTTCCTCTCCCTCTTTCTCCTTCCGCAGGTGAGGCCCTGGGCCCGTGGAGCAGAGGCTGGGGATGGGGGGCTGAGGAGTGATTGTCCAGAGGGCTCACTTCCCCCCACCATCACAGGGGGTGGAGGTGGGAGAAGACGCAGCATCAGGACCACAACCCTGATCCAGGAAGGCAGCCTGGACTGTTGGTTCAGGGCTCCGGCTCTGGAGGCAGACAGACCTGGGTGTGCATCTTGGCTCCGAGTCTTGGCCATTGTGAGGCCTTGAGCAAATCTCTTAATTCTTCTGAGCCTCAGTTTCCCCACCTATAAAAGGGGATGCTAAGAGTCCTATCCCAGGACTGTCTGAAGATCAACATTCAACCTACGGAAGAGTTTGCAGGTAGGGAGTCCACACTGTCGTGTAAAGCATCTTGCACAAACACAGAAACTCAGAAAGTGCCCAATATTATCCTAGCTCGTTGTCTGCTGCATAGCAGGTCCTCAGAAAAGTGCCCTTAGTATTACTGCTCTTACTAGATTGAAATGGGCTAGTCCAGAACTGGCATAAAATATCTATTCATTAAAGAGCAGCTGGCACTGGACCCGGCACACAGCAGGTAGTTACAAATACTGTCATTTTCACTCTTGTATTTAGTGTGGAAAGCATCTGGCCCAGGGGCTGACACACAGTAGGTACTCAATAAGTGTTAATATTCTCATGTGAAGCATCTAGTCCGGGACTGAACTCGTTGTTTCATTGATCTCATGAGGATTTATTGAGCACCTACTGTGCCGGGTACCGTTGGAGGCACTGGAGGTGCAGCTGCAAACAGACCAACAGAAGTCACGGCCCTAGGCAGCTCATCTTGGGGAGAGACAGACGATAGACGCGAATGCATCAGTGATGGAGGATGTCAGCACGCGAGACATGCGATGGCTGGGAGGGGTTAAGCGATAAGGGAGATGGAGGGTGTCGGGGGACCTGCACGGGGGGAGAGGGGGACTGCAGTTCCAAACAGAGTGGTCAGGGGGTCTCACTGCCAGTTGCACAGAGACCTGAGGGAGGTGAAGGAGTGAGGGAGCCATGTGGGCCTCTAGGAGAAGAGCATTCAGGAAGAGGTGCCTGGTGTGTTCAGAAGTGGGTGCAGAGGTAGAGCAGGAGGAGATGAAGTCAGGGTAGATGAGGGACTGGGCCAAGGACGGGGCCCCTTTGGGGCCACTGAAGACCTCTGGCTTGTCCTGAAGAGCTGTTGGAGGGTTTGAGCAGAGGAGTAACGTGACTGACCTGTGTGTGAGCAGGACACCGTGCTGCCACATTAAGGGTAGATGAGGACATTGTGGTAGCCCAAGCAAAGATGATCGTGGCTGGACCAGGATGGTGCGGGAAGGTGGCCGGCTCTGGATGGACACATTTTGAAGGCAGACCCAGTGGGATTTGTTGATGGGTTGAATGTGGCATGTGTGAGAGAGAAGAGCCGAGGAGGACTCCACAGTTTGGGGCCTGAGGAACTGGAAGGATGGATTCGCATCCACTGAGATGGGCAGGCTGTGGGCGGGGCAGGTTCGGAGGGACTGGAGTTCGGGTGGGATTTGTTGAGTAGGAGACGCCAGATGGGCAGTTGCAAATAGGAGCCTGAAGTTTAGGAGAGAGGTCCAGGCCAGGGCTGTTGGGAGTTGTCAGCATGCAAAGTATTTCAAACACTTTTAAACTACTGACTGGATGAGATCACCAGGGAGGGACAGCAGAGGGAGAAGAAACCAGGACTGAAGGCAGACCCTGGGTCCTCCAAGGTTAAGAGGTCACAGGGAAGAGAAGGAACCAGCAGAGGAGATCGAGCGACCAGCAAGTTGAGAAGACCAAGAGGGTGAGGGAGGAAATGGGACTAATCTGATGGTGGTGATGGTGAGGAGGAAAGCACTATGCTCAGGGACACACAGTAGGTGCTCAGTAAGTGTTACTAGATGGTAGGAATGACAATGATATGAATCATAGGCTGGGCCTGGCATGTCATGGGTTCTCATTAAATGCTGTGTGCTGATGACCATCATGATGATGGTGGACATCACCAAGACCAGGGTGCGGCACATAGTAGGTGCTCAATAAATGTTACTACAATGATCATCATGATGATGCTAACATAAAAAACCTAGCTGGGGTCCGGCACACAGTAGGTTCTTATGAAACGTCACTACAGTGATGACCATGATGACGATGGGGTAAACCACCCACCCCTGGGCGTGGCTGGTACTCCGTGCTCCTTAAACGCCACCAGGACGATGTGGCAGGTGGAGCCCCCGTGGGGCCGTGGCCAAGTGGGGCCCTCACTAATGCCAGCGGCCCTCCCCTCCGGCAGATCACCTATAGTGCCATCAGCGACGACCTGCGCGACAAGCTGAGCTTCCCGGCCGTGCTGCGCACGGTGCTGGGCGCCCATCACCACATGGAGGCCATGGTGCAGCTGATGGTGCATTTCCGCTGGAACTGGATCATCGTGCTGGTGAGCAGCGACGACTACGGCCGCGACAACAGCCAGCTGCTCAGCAAGCACCTGGCCAGCCACGACATCTGCATCGCCTTCCAGGAGGTGCTGCCCATGCCGCAGCCCAACCAGACCGTGACGCCCTACGAGCGCCAGCGCCTGGTGGTCATCGTGCAGAAGCTGAAGCAGAGCACGGCGCGGGTGGTTGTCGTCTTCTCGCCGGACCTGGCCCTGCACAACTTCTTTCTCGAAGTGCTGAACCAGAACTTCACGGGCGCCGTGTGGATCGCCTCTGAGTCCTGGGCCGTTGACCCGGTCCTGCACAACCTCACTGAGCTGCGCCACACGGGCACCTTCCTGGGCGTCACCACCCAGAGGATGACCATCCCGGGCTTCAACGAGTTCCGTTTGCGCCGCGCCCAGGCCAGGCAGCCCGCACCCAACAGACCAGCAAGGGGGGCCACCTGCAACCAGGAGTGTGACACCTGCCTGGACACCACCTCATCCTTCAAAACCATCCTCACTCTCTCCGGCGACCGCACGTCCTACGGCGTGTACTCGGCCGTGTACACCGTGGCCCACGCGCTGCACAGCCTCCTGGGCTGCAACCAGACCAAGTGCCGCAAGGAGGTGGTCTACCCGTGGCAGGTGAGGCTCGGCCCGGAGAAAGCGGGGGCCCCAGGGAGCAGGCGCAGAGTCCATGGCCGAGGAGACCACAGGGTGCCTGCTGCTCTGCTCTAGCTTCTCCCTCCCTTGGCGGGTTCTGGATACACAGGTGGGAGATACCGTGGGGCAGGCCCAGCTCTAGACGCATGGAACCAAAACTCCCTCCTCGTGCCTTTTAAAAATACTAATTTAATCATCACCATCCAAAATAGTCTGCTGTTGGAGATTCGGGTGAATGACCCTTGAAGGAAGTCCCGCGGGCAGTGGGAGCCCCGGGTCCCCTGCCATCCCTCCAGGCCTGAGGCCCCGGCGGTGGGCTTGAGTTTTCCCATAAGACCTCCCGGGCCGTGGCCAGGGTTGTGGACCGTCGCAGTGTCACCGGTTCTGCATCACCATGATTCAGACCCGGAATTTAAATCTGTATTTTCTTGACTTACACACACACACACACACACACACACACACACCTACCCCGCCCATCAAATGTAAGCCTGGGAGAGCAGGCACCTGTCGGTCCTAGTCACACTCACCCTCCTGCGAAAGCTTCGGGGGTGTGGAAGGTTTTGCTGAGGACCGGGAGGAGCAGAGGGGATGTCTGTCAGAGGCGTGCACTTTGTACCTTGCTCTCTGGGCTTAAACAATTCACTGTCTTTTCATAGTTGGATGCCCAGCTGCCCAGGCTGTTGCTTGGCCTCTCCCCCAACCCCTGTGTATGTCCCGTCTTTATTCTCGCCTTCCTCCCTTTTGTGGGTCACCCCATCCCCAAACACCTGTTCACTTCCTTAACTTCGTTAGCTCTTAAAAAATCCCCTCCCCTTATTCTATTTGTTTGTAGGTACCTCTCCACCCCATAATCTCAGAGCCTAACCTTGCAGCCCTACATGCTTATCTCAAAAAGGTACAGCAGGCAGTCAGAGGTGCCACCATGCCTGGGGGGGACAGGGGCATCACCGGGTGGCAGGGGTCAGCGAAGGCAGGGTTCAAGGAGTGGGGGAGGGCAGACACTGCACATTCCAGGAGGGGAGGGGGGCCTGGACAGGTGGTCGGACCAGTGTGGCGGAAGAGTCGGGGGAAGGGGAGCTGAGGTGACCGTGGAGGGCATCAGGGCCGGAGGGAGCGGTTGGGGCTTTGTCCTGGATGCAGCAGGAGCCTGCAGAGAGTTCACGCTGAGCACTACGATGGTGCTGTTGAGACAATCCAATAAGCCAGCTTCGGCTTAGGGTGGAGGGCGATAGAGGCCAGCCCCGAGCAGGTGCGCGGCTCCACGAGCTGGGCGACCTGGGCTCCAGCCCTCCCTCCCATCGCCCTAGCTGGACCCACTTGCGCAGACCCACAACCTGTGAAACCGTACGTGGCGTCCTTATGTGCCCCCACCAAGGTTGGCTCATGCCAGGCCACCCTGTTTATTTTTGTCATAACACTGATCCCAAGTTGTTGTTATTGTGTTTATTTATTTGTGTCCTTGCCTGTTGTCTCTTCCCTACCCCGCCCTTCAAATGTAAGCCCAGGGGAGCAGGGACCTGTCAGTCGTATTCAGTGCTGTGTCCCTGGCTGCTGTCTCTGGGTCTGGCTCAGGGCTGACTCTCACTGAAGGTTTATTGGATGATGGATGGGGGAATGAGCACACAGTGTGCCCAGCACAGCGCCAAACCCCTTCCACGAACTATCACTGATCCCCAAGGACCCCGTGTGCAGACACTGTTACTTTACTCTTTCTCTCCCGTATGCAGATGAAACGGACATTCAAAGAGCTGCCGGTCACCCAGCTCGGGAGAGGCGGTGAAATAGGGGAGGGGCAGTGGGGATGGAGAGGAGGGCACCCCCGGGAGAGGCGAGGTGGAGGGAGAGGCCTCGGGGGAGATGAGGAGGCTTGGAGACGGAAGCTGGGAGGACGTGCTGGCAGGTGACAGCAGGTGTCCGATCAGGGGAGGCTGGGTAGACGCCAGCTGGCACGTGTGTGGGGGCTTCGGCCGTCAGAGGGAAAGTGTTCAGCAGGTTATTGAGGGTCAGAGTTGCGAGGTCCCCTCAGTATCTTCTGGTCCAATCCCTTATTTTACAAATGGGGGATGGGGTCCCAGGGACCGTAACAGGGCCCACTCAGCCAGCCAGGACCACAGCCGGGTTCGTTTCCACCTGCTCGCCGTCCTCGCTCGCGCTTCACTCTTCTCTCCGCCTCCCCCTACCCCTCAGACGTCTCAGTTATGACCCATCGCCCATCTGTTGGGAGGCAGCTGATGAGGAACTGAGCAGAGCTTTGGAATCAGGCAGACCTGGGTTCGAATCCCAGCTCCGCCACCATGAGCTGTGCCGCCTTGGGCAAGTTATTTAATATCTCTGAGCTTCCGTTTTCTCATCTGTTAAATAAAAGGACTCGTAATACCCTGCTGGGTTGTTGAGAGGACTGACAATAACGTGTGCCCGTCACCTGGCTCAGAGCAGAAGCTGAGTGTCCTCTGCGTTCATTTCTGCCCCCAGTGTAGGGAAGACGGTGGGGCTGGGGGTGGAGCCACTGCTGGGGCAGGGCCGGGGCTAGGTGAGGAGGGAATCAAGGCTCGTGCCCCACGGGGCGCCTGAGATGCCCAGGCCCCTGCTGATGACAGTGCTGGCCGCTGCCCCCGCCGCACAATGGCAGGGACAATGTCTTCCGACCCCATGCCTTGGACCCCTGGAAGCCCAGGCTGCTCAGGCCAGCTTGGCCAGGTCACTGCAGGGGTGTGACAGGGCCGGCAGCCCTGGCTCTCCAGAGGCTCTGCCATCCCGATCCCCATCCTCAGGCCACCCACCTGGGAGGAGCCTCCCTCCTCTCCTCTCCCAGGACCATTGCCCTCAGGCCCGGCAAGCTGTGCAAATCCCAAAGAGGCTTCCAGAGCCAGGGGCTCACTCCCCGGGCGGGGCAGGGAGAAGGCTAGGGCTCATCTCCCTTGGCTATCTGTCTGTCAGTCCCCGAGGTGAGGTGAGCTCTGGGCCCCCAAGAGGTAGCGCAATAGACTCTCCCATTTATGGAGGGAAAACCTAGGAGCCAGATTAATGGGCTATCTAAGCTTGAAGCCCTTTCGGGATCAGCTCAGAGAGGTTCGGTGACTTGCCCAAAGTCACCCAGTAAACTGAGGACAGAGCTAGGCCTGGAATTCAGGCCAAAGGAGGCCCAGTCCAAAGCATGTTCTCGTATGTACCAGCTTCTGCATCCTGAGTGATGCGGGATGAGGTGGGGGAGACTGGAGAGAGTGCAGACTCTACAGTGTAGGGAGGCAGGAGGCACCCAGGGGGCAGGGCGATCCCAGCTGACCCTTGCAGGTGGGAGAGGCAGTGGACTCTGGACCCCAGGTATTGGGTCCCAGAGGGGTGGCCGAGGTGGCTTCCAGGGAAAAGGAACCATCAGCTCTTTGGTGGGAGGGGAGCGTTGACTATTTTTCAGGCACCTGTCTAAGCCCCAGAAATCTATTAACGCATTGATTGCTTCAGGGCCCAGAAGACAGTGTTTCTGTTTCTCCCACTTTGCTGAAGAGGAAACTAGGATTCAGAGAGGTTAAGTGACAGGCCCAAGGCCTCGCAGCAGGAAGTCTAAACTCACATGTGTCTGACTCCGGAGTCCGAGCTCCGGGCCACTGCCTCCAAACCCCACACTTTCAAAGCCTTACTGCCCCACGTGACTGATGTGGAAACCACGGCCAGCGGGAGGGTGGCATTTCTCCCAGTCTGACCCGACCTTGGACTCCAGCTCCTCTTTCGTCCCCTCCGGCCCCTCTAGCTGCTTCAGGAGATCAAGAAGGTCAACTTCACCCTCCTGGGCCACCAGATCTTCTTCGACCAGCAAGGGGACCTGCCCGTGTGCCTGGAGATCGTCCAGCGGCAGTGGGACCCGAGCCAGAGCCCCTTCCAGACTGTGGCCTCCTACCACCCCATGCTGCAGAAGCTGAGGGACATTCGTGAGGTCTCCTGGCACACCCCCAACAACACGGTCAGCTCTCAGAGGGGCTGGTGTGGGCGGGGCCTGAGGGCTGGGGGGGGTCTCTCTCTGTAGGTGTGTTGTCTGGGGGACTGTCCTTCCTCCGTTGACTGAGGACTGTGGCAGTCCAGGGCTTTCTCGCTCTTCAGGGTCCCCTGGAAAGGAAACGTTTGCTGTGTGCAAAGGACTTCAATTTTCATGTCGACCCTAGGAAATAGATGCTGCTATTCTCTCTGTTTTATGGGTTAGAAAACTGAAGGCACAAAGTGGTTGCATGACCTGCCGAAGGCCACACAGCTTGTCTGTGTCTCCGTATACACATTCAGGCAACATCCTATCAATTAATACTCACGTTTTTGGCACAGTAGCTGTGCCTTCCACTGTGTCTGACATCTGTCAGTCTAAAGCTCCTTCGTTTTACCCTCTTTAGACAATTAGCTGTCAGAATGCCACTGGTGCGGGGAGGGGTGGAGACCCAGCCTTGTGCAGTGAGGAGGGGCTCTAAGAGCTTCTCAAAGAAGCTTCATCTCCCCACGCCCGACTCTATCCCCAGTCCCAGAGGTACCCGGTGCTGCCAGCTCCAGCCTTCTCGGGGATTTTTATGGTGGAAGTGGGGTTGGGGTCAATTTGTTTGCTAGAGTTGCCCACAAAGTACCACAAACTGGGGGGCTTCACGGACGGACATGAAGGAGAATCCGTCCCAGCCTCCCCCTGGCTTCTGGCGCTGTGCTGGCCATCCCTGGCTCTCCCCGGCTGGTAGAAGCATCGCCCCCTCTCTGCCTTCACCTTCCCCCGGCGTCCCGCCTGTGGGCGCGTCTGTCTCCAGATCGCTCCCTTTTATAAAGACATCAGTTGTCCTGGAGGAAGGGTCCACTCCACTCCTGTATGACCTCGTCTTAGCTGATCTGCAATGACCCTATTTCCAGATAAGGTCACCCTTTTAGGTCCTGGAGTTAGGACTCCAACATTTGAATTTTGAGGGGGTCACAATTCAACAAACAACAGTATCTTAGCCTGGGTCTCCCCCAGAAAGCAGAGCCTGAGGCAAGGGTTTCTGTGCAGATAGTTTATTCCAGGACGTGATCCAGGGGAACAGGAGAGAGAGACCGGGGAGAGGTTGACAGGGAAGAGGAAAAGTCGGTACAAGAGAATTTTCTTAGCTGGACGCCGCTGTGAACAAACGGCACTCAGTCTTTCCAGGACCTTCTGAGGAGCCACGTTAGATTGTCCCCCAAGGGAGGGAAGAGGCTAGCACTGATTCACCGGCTCCATACCGGATCCCACCCCAGTGCTCAAGGGTTGCTCCGAGGGGCGTCGACTTCCTTGCACTTCCGGGTCGCACCTGGAGGAGAGCCCGGCAGCTTCCTGCGGGCATCTCACAATGCAGCGCCAGGGCAGACAGTGAAAGAGATCTGTAGCCGAGGGAGGTGCTGGCAGGTGACATCTGGGTGAAATTGGTTGTTGCAGCCATGGCCAGAATGAAAGGTGGGCCGAGAAAGTATGAGGGAGGCCACAGAGACGTCCATGCTTCATTTCACTCGTTGTGTCTGTGTCCTCCCTTCAGCCTGGTGAGTGGGAGCTTTTAGGGCCAGGTAGGGCCCCGCCTCTACCCAAGGGGACTGGAGTGGCCCAGCCACAGCCCTGCTGCTGCAGCTGGGCCCAGGTGTAACAGATATGCATCCTCTCTCCCTGCCACCATCCATTCTGGATTCCTTCACCCTCAGCCATTTGGCTGCTCTGGGTCACGGGGCTGGTGGGGTGACCCAGACATTGATCCCCAAGGTGTCTGAGCCCGTAGTCGCCTTTTCCTTGCTGGCCTGTGGTCGTGGCTGTTGTCCAGTAGCAGTAATCACTGGCCAGAAGCGCCAAGGGCTGCCTTGATGAGCCCCCTGAGATCCAGACCTACTCCTTCCTGCCTGCCTTGTGCTAATCCGCGTCAATTACCTTCTCCTTTCTTGGCCTCCTTGTTCACTGGCATGAGGCCCCCTAAATGACCAGCTGGTACCCATAGAGCCCACGTGAATGGTGGTGGGAGTAGTCCCCTCCGGAGACCAGAACCTCTATTCTAGCAGGGTCTAAGGTTGTGGGGACGAGAAGGACCAATTTGACAGCATGCCCCTGAGAACACTGGTAAGTGTGGCCATCTTCCTCCCTCGGGGTTGTTGGACCCGCATATTCTAGCTTTTGGGACCACAGCGCTCTGAACCAGCTTCTACTCAAGGCTTAGACCTCGTCCTAAAGGGCAGTGCCCCCGCCCTTGGGTCATCCCCAAGCTGGTGCCTTGCCTGATGCTCTAGCATGCCATCCTCTCATTTTATTAGGCTGGATACTTCCAGACGATGTGGCGTATATTGGGATCACGTGCCCATGTCACACCCATTCACCATAAAATGGGTCCCTTGTCTGAGGTGTTGTTACAGGGGACCCCATGTCAGTAAATCATGCCGTCTGTGAGCCCTTGCATAGCGATGCTGCGCAACTGTGAGAGAAAGCAAATCCTTGCAAGATGAGTCAGTGCTCCTGCCAGGGATGAAGGCATCTGATGTGATTCATCTGCCAGCAGCCGGCTGGCTGGTCGTCTTGCATAATGGTGCCAAACCTGGGGCTCAGCGTGGTCTCTGTTGCGGGCAGGCTAGGTGTCCAGCCATGGCAGTAGCTGGGTTGACCATGGTGGGAGGAAGCCCAAGATGCTGGGTCCAGGCCCATGGCCTCCATCCCTGGCCCTGTGGCCACTCTGTTCATGGCCGTTGTGCCAGCCCTGGGTGGCTGAGGACAGAGGCCAGCTGGTCCCTCCTGGATGATTCATCTCTTCTATCTGGCTTTTCATTCCTCTCTGTTCTCTGATTGGCATTCCAATGAGATGCAAAGATCTTCGAGCTTTGTGCTCGCTCCCACAGATGCATGCTCATCCCTTTCCCCTCGAGCTATCTTGTCTCCGTTCTTTCCAATCGTGCTCTTTCCCGGGCCCCTGAACCCAACAGCCCAGCCGTTACTCACTGGCCCAGGGGCCCCACTCCCCCAGGCTCCCAGGGAAGTTTCTCCCATCCATGCAGAGCGGTCAAGCAAAGTGCCCTGCTTGCACCTGTCCACACGAGGAGCACTTTCCCTCCTTCCTGTCCCTCAGGGTCCCACCCCCCGACCCCCACCCCGAGAGGAGCTTACCAGGGCAGTCGCTCATTTTCAGCTCACATTAATCTACCAAGCTGCCTTCTCTGTGAATCATTCCTGAACATTCTCCACCTCTGTCAACTGGCCGTAGAGGATCCCTCCGAGAGGACTTAGCCGTGATCTGAGGCAGAGGAATTGTCACGACAGAGGTGGATGTTGTAAGAATCGTAACCACTGACTTAAAGCGTACTTGTAGCCTCTGGACCTGCTTTGGCCTGATCCCAAATGCGTCACTTCCATTGTGTGGCGACTTGCCACTCTTTTTGCCCAACCGCATGACTCTGAATGTGGCAATCACTTGATGTCCTGAGGCCATGTGCTCCGTCCCCACGAAGGCCCAGCAGGACACCAGGAGCTAACTTGCAAACAGTGAGCGGTGCTTTGTTGCAGAAGGCATGTTGCAGTTGCCTTGTCGCAAACTCTCCCACTGGGCTTGCCCATCCTTACCCACCACAGGGAACCCTAACATCTCGGATCTGCTTGGGCATATGGCCCGAGTGACAGCATAGCTCACACTGCAGCCAGGACCTTCCTCAGAGTCTTTCTCTGGGCCCGTTACTCTGCCTTGAAGCTGGAAGCCATCTGAGTCACCTGATCAAAGTGGGTTGGGGCAGTATTTCCAAGAGCAATTTATGCTGTTTCCATCTAAAGAGGTTCACCAGCTGCCGTCCTTAATGGTAGGAGATATAAGATGTGGTGACTGGTCCTTTACTCTAGAATGGATGTCCTGGCATTCCCCAGACCACTGGACCCCTAAAAACATCACTAATGTGGCAGGTCCCCCTTGAATCTTTGTAGGGTTTATCTTCTACCCTCCAGCATTCCTGTCTTTGTGGCATAAAGAGTGCTCCCCAGACGCGGTCGGCAGGACGTCGTTAATATAGTGGACCAGCTGGATGACCCGCAGTGTCAGAACGATGAAGTCCCACGTGGCCCACACTGTGATGGCAGAAGAGTAAACTGAACTCTGCCGTAAGATGATGAATGCCCGTGGTTTGAGATCTTTCTTCTTTGTTACTATTGGCGTTTACAGCTAGACATTTCCCTCTAAGAACTGCTTCCTCGTAAGTTTTGGTATGTTTTTATCAATTTTTATTTTTAATTGTAAAAAACATAAAATTTACCATCCTAAGCGTTTTTACAATTTTTTTTTTACCGTGGTAAAATACACATAACATAACATTTACCATCTTGACCAGTTTTAAGTGTGCAGTTCAGGAGTGTTAAATGCATTCCCGTTCTTGTGCAACCATCGGCGCCGTCCATCTCCAGAACTCTTTCATCTCACAAAATTGAAATTCTATCCTCGTTAAACAATGGCTCCCCATCCCCGCCTCCACGCAGCCCCTGGCAACCACCATTCTCCTCTCTGTCTCTGCTGTTTGGACTCTTCTAAGTACCTCATAAAAGTGGAATCGTGTGGTATTTGTCTTTTTGTGGCTGGCTTATTTGACTGAGCATAATGTCCTCAAGGTTCATCCGTGTTGTAGCCTGTGGCGGAATTTCCTTCCTTTTTAAGACTGAATGATATCCTATTGCATGGATGGACCACGTTTGGTTTATCTGTTTATCCATCAATGGAACCCTCGGGTGGCTCCCACATTTTAGCTATTGTGAATAATGCTGCTATGAATACGGGTGTACAGATACCACTTTGAGATCCTGCTTTCAATTCTTCCGAGTCTATACCCAGAAGTGAAATTGCTGAATCATATGTTAATTCTATTTTTGATTTTTTGAGAAACTGCTGCTGTTTTCCACATTGGCTGTCCTGTTTTACATTCCCAGCAGTGCACAAAGTTTCCAATTCCTCCACATTTTTTGCCACCACTTTTTATTTTCTG